GGTTGGGCGACCCGGAATGGACAATAAAAGAGGGGTGATAACCTCATTCCGCAAGAGTGCAAGCCAGCAGGGCATGCGCCACCAATTCGGTACTGCCATCTCCACAGGGACATAAGCGTTTTTTGTGTTGAATCTGTTGGAATCGTCCCTCAAGTACAGCCAAGGGCAATCCATTCAATCTTGCGAGAGTAAAAGCGCGTCTATATTTTAGAATTGCTAGGTAATGCAGAGAGGGTGCCAGAGAGTCGAAATGGGAAGGTGCAAAATAGTCATACCGTGGGCAAAATTTCCTCATTGTGGCCAAGTTGTTCAGATGCTCGATACCATTTAGACTGTTTAGATTTGTTAGGGCAAATTAGACTGTTTGCTTTACTAAAACCCAAAGTGAGTAGCTGTTGTGATGATAAACCACAACAGTGAAGTTTTTGATAGACGGTTTTAGTCCTGGCGCTCTTGTGACAATCTTGCAGCATTAGGGACATTAGACCGGGGGAATTTGAGTTTAGGCGAAGCCAATAGTTAAATGCCCTACGCCAGATAGCCACCATGTGCACAGGATGCTGGACCAGATAGGCCAGTGGTCTGATCCTGCTGGGCTCTTCTTATGTTCTTAGGACACTTTCCTAATATTGAAAGGGAGGGAATTCCAGAGGGTATATATCAGTCTGAAGCCAAGAGCATCTTCATCACTACCCCAATTTCAAGTCCTGCTGCTGCCCCCCTCCTTCCCAAGTAGACATGTCCATAACAGTAGTAAAGCACATCCTTTTCTCCACAACAACGAACAACGAGATCTTCTGCTGAACTGTTTTGCCAGGCCGTTAAGCTTTCAGGGCAGTTGGAGGATGGTTTTGGCTTGGCACATGATCCATCCCCTTTGTTCACTAGGCTAGGTTTGGTGGCGCTGTGGCCTAAACCACAGAGCCTCTTGGGCTTGCCGATCAGAAGGTTGGCGGTTCGAATCCCCGCGACGGAGTAAGCTGCAATTGTTCTGTCCCAGCTCCTGCCAACCTAGCAGTGCAAAAGCACATCAAAGTGCAAGTAGATAAATAGGTACCGCTCCAGCAGGAAGATAAACGGCGTTTCCATGTGCTGCTCTGGTTTGCCAGAAGCGGCTTAGTCATGCTGGCCACATGACCCGGAAGCTGTACGCCAGCTCCCTCGGCCAATAAAGCGAGATGAGCGCCGCAACCCCCCAGTTGGTCATGACTGGACCTAATGGTCAGGGGTCCCTTTACCTTGGTACCTTGGGTTACAAATTGCTTCGGGTTACAAACTCCACTAACCCGGAAGTAGTACCTCGGGTTGAGAACTTTGCCCCAGGATGAGAATGGAAATTGCATGGCGGCAGCAGGAGGCCCCATTAGCGAAAATGCACCTGAGGTTAAGAACAGTTTTGGGTTAAGAACGGATCTCCGGAATGAATTAAGTTTGTAACCCGAGGTACCACTGTACTGCTACATCTGAGGTACACCTGTGCTTCTTTCTACTGCAAAGAGAGGGAGCCTGCGGCCCTCCAGGTGTGCTGGACTATGTTTCCCATCATCCCTCACCACAGGCCATGATGACTGGCCCTAATGGGATCTGAATTCCATCAATATCTGGAAAGCCAAAGGCTCCCCAGCCCTGATTCTATTGAATCAACACAGCTGCCTGCACTTTTGAACTTCCTTTGGTGACATGACTATGGGTGCCGTCACTTCGATATTGATCACTCTATTGTGGGCTTTTCCCCTCAGAGGAGCTTTGAAGCTCACACAAAGAGGAGTCACAGAGGGGTGGGTGGGTATGATGTTCGTGTGAAGGAGCCAGAATCGCTTTCACCACCTTCCATTCCAAGGGCTGCTGAGGTACACATCGTAAGAACATTAGGATGCTGTCCTGTCTTGAGTCAGGCTGCTGGTCCGTCTGGTTCAGTATTGCCCACACTGGCTGGCAGCAGCTCTCCAAGGTCTCGGGCAGTTGCCATTTCCCCAACTCTACCACGTGACGCTAGGGGTTGACCGTCTGCGTGCAAAGTGGACCGTCTGCCACTGAGCTAGGACGCTTCTACTCAGAAGACTGCAGCCTCAACTCCCCAGTCTTCCTCAGAAGAGCTTTGGAAACCTCAAGAAGTCACAAAGGTTGGTGTTTGCTGGCGTTGTATATTGATGGGGAACCAGAAGCATGTTCCGCAGCTTGTGTGTGTGTGTGTGTGTGTGTTGGTGTGTACCCAGAACCATATTCACCACTGTATGGGTATTTGCATATGAAGAGGAGTTTGGATTTGATATCCCGCTTTATCACTACCCTAAGGAGTCTCAAAGCGGCTGACATTCTCCTTTCCCTTCCTCCCCCACAACAAACACTCTGCGAGGTGAGTAAGGCTGAGACTTCAGAGAAGTGTGACTGGCCCAAGGTCACCCAGCAGCTGCATGTGGAGGAGCGGAGACGCGAACCCGGTTCCCCAGATTACGAGTCCACCGCTCTTAACCACTACACCACACTGGCTCTCTATATTGGTTGCTAACTTCACCACTCTCTCTCTCTCTGTGCGTATCTTTTATCTCTACAGTCATACCTCGTTACGTCTGCTTCATGTTATGTTCTTTCAGGTTACGTCCCGCAGCGACCCGGAAGTACCGGAAAGGGTTACTTCCGGGTTTCGCTGCTCGCGCATGCGCAGAAGTAGCGAATCGCAACCCGCGCATGTGCAGATGCGCTGCTGCGGGTTGCGTTCCTTTCATGTTGCGAACGGGCCTCCTTAACAGATCCTATTCGCAACCAGAGGTACCACTGTATATGGTAAGCCCACAGCTTCTGTGCATTTAACTTATGTGCATACAGCTTTACACACGGCAAAAAAATGGGGGAAAAAATTAAAAAGGTGGTAGGCATCCAGGAAAAAAAGACTTTAACACTTGCCATCGGCTCCAATATGTTTTGACTGTACATGATTTTGGCTTTAGGTGCGATTCCAGAACGTAACCCCCACATAAGTTGTGGGCTTACTGTATTTATGTGTGCGTACCCAGGGGTATCTTCACCAGCTTATACACTTGTGTGCATGTACGTGTACATATATTACTGTGTACCCAGATGTATCTTCACCACTGTAGATGTGTCTGTATATAAATATGTGCATATTAGGGTGTACCCGGACGCATCTTCATCACTTCAGATGTATGTACATGTGTGCTCTTGTGTACCCAAGAGCATCTTCATCATGTGTATGTACTACAGGGGTGCCAACTTGAATAAAATATGGGGGTGAGTAATCTGAGCCCTGCATAATTGATCAAAAGACGCGGCACCCACCCACCATGTGAATGGCAACACTGCCAACTTTGGGGGTGCCTGGCCCCCTCACATATTTTATTGGGGTTGGCTCCTATACAGTCGTACCTCGGTTCTTGAACGCCCCGGAACTCGTACGTTTCCGCTCCCGGACAATCAAAAACCGGAAGTGAGAGTTCCGGTTTTCGAACATTCTTTTGGAAGCCAAACGTCCCATGGGGCTTCTGATTGGCTGCAGGAGCTTCCTGCAGCCAATCAGAAGCCACGTTTCGGAAGCCGAACGGACTTTCAGAACGGATTCCGTTTGACTTCCAAAGTACAACTGTATTTATTTGCTCAATAAAATGTCTACACTGCTTGTTAGAAAAACGGAAATCCTCAAAAGCGGTTTACAAAAACGCAGTGGCGTAGCGTGGGGGGTGCAGGGGGTCCGGCCGCACCGGGCGCAACATCTGGGGGGGCACGCTTGCACTAGCAGCTCTCTGCCCCTACCTGGCTCACTCAGGGTTAGGGGGCGCAAATTACTTGCCTTGCCCCGGGTGCTGACAACCCACGCTACGCCACTGCTAAAACGGCAAAACCGAGAGGGGGAAAAATAAATAAATATCGCAGCCGTGCTTTGAAACATACAGAAAGTTTTGGGAATTATAGGGACAGAACTACCCAAACTGTATAGAAATCTATTCATGTATGATAATACAGCGGCAAGAATGTTGCGCAAAAATGGAAAGACGAAGTCCCAGTGAAAGAAGAACGGATACCAAAACTTATGGAATATGCAGAAATGGCGAAACTTACCGAAAGAAAAAGAAACCAATATAACTTTTTTAATGAATAAAGGAATGGAAACCATTTACTGATTATTTACAAACTGTAAACAGATAAGAACATTGGCAGGATTATTGCAATAACCTACAGTTTTATAAGAGCGTACATTTAAAGTAGATGGATCCCTGAGCAAATTAAATTAATTTAGAATATGCAGGGAAATATATAAAAAATAATAATTAAGCAGCTGCTGGTAGGAGGGGGGGGGGAGGAGTTCTGAAAGGTTAAAACGACTGTAAAATTTGACTTCCGTGTGTGTGATGTCAAATGATATGTTGTTAGTTAGCGTTTAGTTGTTACGAGGGTATGGTATTGGTTTGTGTTGTTTTTATGCAGTATGTTTTTTATGCAGTACAGTGGTACCTCAGGTTAAGTATTTAATTCGTTCCAGAGGTCTGTACTTAACCTGAAACTGTTCTTAACCTGAAGCACCACTTTAGCTAATGGGGCCTCCTGCTGCTGCTGCCGCGCCGCCCGATTTCTGTTCTCATCCTGAAGCAAAGTTCTTAACCTGAAGCACTATTTCTGGCTTAGCGGAGTCTGTAACCTGAAGCGTCTGTAACCTGAGGTACCACTGTATGTAAATTGTTCTGCAATAAAGCTTTAATAAATTTTTTTTAAAAAATTATGGAAACGTATAAAATGGGAAATCGCGAATAAAATAATGATGATGATGAAGAAACATACATAAAGTTGAAATTCCCCAAACTGGAAATTCCCAAATCATGTGCCTGCGTTATCTATCGGCAGGAGGTGCCTGCCCCATTATAACCCCCTCACGGAGCGCGGGGGGGGGCACTACCCCTCACCCCAAACGACGCCTCCCCTCCCCCCCCCCGCGCCTCCTCCTCCTCCTCCCCCCTCCCTCCCTCCTTCCCGCCCGGCGCGTGTCAACTCCAGGAAGCGCAGGGTCTATGTAGCCGCCTCGTCCGCAGCCGCCGCCGCCATGCATTGTGGGGCAGCGGCAGCAGATCCAAGATGGCGGCCAGCAGGAGGCTGATGAAGGTAACATCCGAGAGCTCGCCCGCCGGGCAGGGCCGGGGCGGGGTGGGGAGCGGCGGGAGGCTCTTCGCGGGCCGGCCGGCGGAGGAGAGCGGTCCCTTCCCGGCTCTCGAAGCCCCCGCTCCCCCGCTTTCCCCTTTTCCCCCCGGCTCGGGCCGCCGGAGCCGCTTCCGCTTCGCTCTTCCCTCTCTCTTTTTTCGCCTCCTCCGCCGGCGCCTGAGGGAAGCGTAGGCCTCGGCTCCCGAGAGCGCCTCGGGAAGGGGCTGCAGGCCGGCGGCGGCGGCGGTAGCGGAGGCTTCTCCTCCGCCTCTTCCCTCCTCACACCGGCGGCCGCGGCCCGAGAAGGGGCTCCCGCGGTGACTAAGCAAAGGGCGGGATGGCGGCGCCAGTGACCGCCTTCTCCTCGCTCCGGGCAACCCGCGTCCATTGGGGCGTCTCCGGGTTGGGGGAGCTCGGGGGCCCCTCCGTCCAAGCCCGCCCACCCCACTCGCCGGGCCGGGGAGGAGGGAAGGCGGCGAGCCCAGACCCCGCTTCGGATTCGGGGCGGAGTGTCGCCGGGAGTGGGAGGAGGTGGGTGGTGGCTTCCGACGCTACAAAAGAGGAGACTCTTTCGAAGTCGGTCCTTTGTGGGAACTGTGGAGGGGGGAAAAATAAAAAAAATATATCGTTATTTTTGATCCAGTAGGCCGTGTGGGGTGGATCTCTCTTTTCCTTTTTAAAATAAGAATGGGAATTCTTCCACGTTTCTCGCCATCTCCCTCTCTTGAGTAATCTGAAAACGGGTTCAAAAGTCACTTCAGGTGGGGATGGCTTTGCTGCCTCCTTCCTTTTTGCCCCTTTTCCCGCGGCCTTCCTTCAAAAAGCCTTCAGATCTTCCAAAGTTTCTTCTTCAGGCACGGGATCAAAGCGGTGGCTTTTTATTTGGTTCTGGGGTTATGTAAGGAAGGAGATCTCTCCCCCCCTCTCCAACTGGCAAGGATGGGCAACAAAAGAGGATGGGTGGGAGCTTTGGAAAGCATGTGCCACAATAACGGCTTGGCGTATACTTGGGAGTAAGTGTGACTACGTTAAGTGAGTTTGCAGCCCAAATCGGTTAGGCTTTTTAAGATGACACATATCCTGTGAATTAGTTTCGTTTTGCCCCGACAACGGATTAACACTGTACTAGTCCAGAGGAGGCTATGTTGTTCCCCTGGAGTGATACAGTCATATCTAGGATGAGAGAGTGACGTTTGCTCCACAGCCTTCATAAACACAGATTAAAAGCTGTTCTGCATATTCATCATCAGTTTTTGCGTCACTATTAACGCATTCCTTTCACTAACTCATATAGTTTACATCCAGATACGGCTTTTGCAGCTGTTGTAGCATGACAGATTGTATTATAATTGCGCTGCAATATTTGACGGAAAAAGGTGCCCCTTATGAATTTATCACAAGTTCATCAAATTCCCATTAGTGGCAAGCTTCATCATAGAAGAGGCATTTCTCATTTTGTTTTTCACAAGAGGGAATGCCTCTTCTAAGATACCTGTCATGAATAAAAGTTGGTTTTGTTTTGCTTAAGAGATTCTTAATCATAAACCTGAAGGAGCATATCCACCCCGCTTGTTCAGCTCAGACACTGAGGTCCAGCGCCGAGGGCCTTCTGGCGGTTCCCTCGCTGCAAGAAATGAGGTTACAGGGAACCAGGCAGAGGGCCTTCTCGGTAGTGGCGCCTACCCTGTGGAATGCCCTCCCACCAGATGTCAAAGAAATAAACAACTATCTGATGTTTAGAAGACATCTGAAGGCAGCCCGGTTTAGGGAAGTTTTTAGTGAGTGATGTTTTAATGTATTTTTAATATATTGTTGGAAGCCACCCAGAGTGGCTGGGGAAACCCAGCCAGATGGGCAGGGTATAAATAATAATTTGTTGTTGTTGTTCTGTGCATATGTAATTAGTTATATGGCATTTAGTCAATGAACTATGTTTATAATTGGGTACAGGCATAGTAAGGTTGCTTTCTAATTTATTTGGTGAGTAAAGTTTACTGTCCAGAACTTGGGAAATGTGTGGACAATTGAATAAATTATGTCATTGAAATTGTTTTAATTCTTCTTAGGTGCTGACTGGGAACAGATTTCACTTGGAAAGCTCTTACAACTGAATATAAATCCTAACGGTTTTACCATTTGTGTAATCAGTTTTTACTGTCAGCATGGCTTTAAGCTTATATGTAAAGCAAAAGTTGGGGTGGGTTCTTGTTTCAAGAAATAACCTGTTCTTTTAATTTAAAAAAAAATACTTAAATCCACTCTCTCTGTATTGATATGCCAGAAATAATAGTCTTGTACTTTTAGAGGAAGAGTGAACCGCCCTGAGGTATATGGGTCTAGGGGGGATACAAGTTCAACAAATAATTATAATACGAGTATCTATTTTTCCTTGTCATCCCACCCGCACCACCCATCTGTCCTTAAACCAGTTATTTGCATGTTTTTGACTAATAGTATGCAGTTCCTAAAAAGTTTAAGAGCCAAATATATGAATAGTGACCAATCTGCACAGGAGAGAGTGCAGGACTTCCAGTGTATTTTTTGAACCCATACCTGTGCTGGTAGGATTTACACACGTAATTATAATATTGGTGTTTTAGACCTGTAGAGATTGTAACTAGAGCTGTAGTTCTCAAGCTGTTTGCTGCATAAGGTAAATAAGGAATTTTGGACAAAATATAACATGCAGCTCTCCAGCATACGATGCTGGTCTTGATGCTGTCTACCAGGATGGGCAAATTCTTGCCCTAGGACTGCTTGCAGCCTTCTGCCTAAGTGTAGTTGTGTGATGAATCTGGAAAGAGATGTGGAAACTGGGGTGGGGATATGCTTAAATGGAGCAATGAAAGTAGGGGGGGGATCTCTCTTGTCAGTGATTATTTCAGGCCTCTTGCAAAAGAGATCTATCTCCTCTTAACCCCCTACCTGGTAGCACACTAGATGGAGAGGAAAAGGAGGAGGGAGAGAAGGGTGTGGCAGAAAGCTGGAATAACATAGGCCTTGCTCAAAACTGGTTGTGGCCCTTCACACTCCTGACAGGTGGCCCTCAGTGGATTACCCCTAAGGGAACATGGCCTTTGACAGAAAAAAGAAAAAGAAGGTTCCCTACCCTTGCTGTAAGCCTGAGCTACTGATGTTAATGATATAGATGTACAGAATGCTGCCAGCATGTATATACGTTTGTGTGTTAATCTTCGCTCACCGCCCATGCATATCTGTTTGCTATAGCAAAGGTGGTGGTGTAATCAGCATTTCCTTCTGAAGAAGGCCAAGAAAGGACATTATTCGTTATTGAAAAGGAAAGTGAAACTTTCAGACTTATATCTGAAATGTTCCCCTCCATGGTCTGTTCTTTGCTTAGTCTACTTCTCAGTTTAATAATATTTGAATGAAGCACAGATTAAAAATGTAGTTTTAACCTAAGTTGCTTTTAATCTATATACTCTATTAGAAGTTATTAGTAAATTGCCAATTATATTCCTCACTGGTTCTAAAACTTAAACATGGCTCATTTAATGTTGATTTCAGTGAGAGCTTCACAGAATAATAATTATCCGGTACCGTATTTTGTATCTGAGCCATGAACCACTTTGTCTATAAGGAACCCCTCCTTTATGTTTATTTAATTCTACTTGTATTTACCACTACTAGTCTGATATTAGGTTTTGATCTAAAATAATGTTTCCATAATATGAGATAGCATCATGGCAGCGTAAAGCAGTAGAAATTCTGGGGACTGTGTGTCCTTTTATTGACTGGCTTCTGTAATTTGTCATTCCCTCTATTTTTAACTTGGTGGGCTACAGGTTCCACAACCCTGAATTAGATCTGGGCATATAGATGAGAATTAGGATTTTACAAAAGTAAATGTTGAATCTGAAAGAAAAGAAAATATTATAATAAACTTCCTGTCTGTTACAAGAGTTATCTTATATATATCTTTTATATAGTATTTTGAAACAGACAGTTACTGATGAACTACTAAGAACTATCTACAGAAACTGAAATAACTGGAATTTATTGGAAAGCAGAGATTCTCAGGCCTTGTCATAGCAAACCTTTCCCCATGGTAAAATATTTTTAAGATACAGTGGTGCCTCGCAAGACGAAATTAATCCGTTCCGCGAGAGTCTTCGTCTAGCGGTTTTTTCGTCTTGCGAAGCAAGCCCATTGACGGATTAGCGCTATTAGCGGTTTAGCGGCTATTAAAGGCTTAAAGGCTTAGGGGATTAGCTGCTAAAAGGCTATTAAAGGCTATTAAAGGCTTAGCAGATTAGATACAGGGGGGGAATAGCGAAAAACAATCTCACGACTCGCAAGGTATTTTCGTCTTGCGAAGCAAGCCCATAGGGGAATTCGTCCTGCGAAGCAACTTCAAAACGGAAAACCCTTTCGTCTAGCGGTTTTTCCGTCTTGCGAGGCATTCGTCTTGCGGGGCACCACTGTAATTTAAATAGGGTGATTACATATTCAGACAGTTAGGTGGTTGACAGAAGTAAGTAAATGGAATATAAACATTAAGAATTGCCTTTTAGAGCATTTCCAGGATATATTTTAGTAGAAGGGGTGGGGAATCTGTGGCACCCCAGATGTTGTTGGACCTCCAGCTTCCATCATTCTTTGCCATTGGCCATTCTGGCTGCAGTTAATGCTGCCTGGGTAATACTCCTGCTTTAAACAGTGAGTGGACATCTGAAACCTGGTTTTACATGGAATCTAGAGCTCTCTCCTCAAGTTTATACTTGTGTTTAGAAGTTAATTCATTTTCTGAACACTAAATGGAAGTGGAGTCATCATTTCCCACCCTACCCTAGAGTGAGCTCATCCATTGCTATTTCAATAGCTTCATGGCAGGTGATTGTCTTAAGTGCAGCTTGTGTCTGTTGGAAGTGGTCTGTAACTGGTGGTAAGCCAGACACACTTCTGAAGTTTTGAATGTTTTTATTGTCTTCCATAAACACGGTTTTAACAATGAGTCCGTAAGTGACTGTGGAGGCCAGTTCTGGATCCACACGTCCTTCCACAGTGGGGACATTGGTTTCCGGGCGGGAGTTGATCACAGTGTGGATTTGCCAAGCATGCCTTCCTCTTAGCACATTTCTCCCTTTGTCCTGAGTTTGAGTGTCTTCAAAGGCCGTGACACCTTTGGTAAAGGCTGCTCTCCAACTGGAGCGCTCGCAGGCCATTGTTTTCCAGTTGTCAGTGTTTATGCTACATTTTTAAAGATTTGCCTTGAGACAGTCTTTAAACCTCTTTTGTTGACCACCAGCATTACGCTTTCCATTTTTAAGTTCGGAATAGAGTAGTTGCTTTGGAAGATGATCATCAGGCATCCGCACAACACGTTAAAACCGTGTTTATGGAAGACAATCTTACTCGGCTACGAGTGATCGCCAAAGAAGAAGAAGAGTGTTTATTTTTCTTGGAGGTGTTGCTCATGCCAAACTAGGCTGCCACTCAGCAGCAATTCCCGTACCATAGGTTTTTTTATGTTTGTTTTTTGCCAATGAGGCTGTTCTGTTCAGTTCAGTGTTCAAAATTAGCCAGGCACCAGGTGCATTTTGCACCTAGCTATCAGACTCTTCCGACCAAGTAAAGATGCCTGGAGTTGCATGCCTGGGGATGATTGGATCTGGACTATTTTCACATACTAATACCACATCCTGTATAATCCTATCAGTTATATTTAAGCTGCACAATTGGAATCAATTTCTGGAACCAAAAGGCATTTTCTGCGCAGCCTGAGTAGGAGCAGTCACCAATAAGAAAAAGAGGAAGGAATAGGCCAAAATATATGTGAACTGTCCCTGGATCAAGGGACTTTCCTTCTTCAAGTTCTCAAAGCTCTTAACCTAGCTCAAGGTTGTCATCTGAACTGAGAATCAATCACACTCAGTCCATCATTTGAAAAATAAGGCTTTAGAGCTCTCTTGCCCCCAAATGGCAGCTAGACATCCCATTTTGGTGACTGTAACTTTGGTTTCAGGAGCCATTTGGCGCATAGCTTATATATCTGAGTTTCCAACACGGGTTCTGTTAAGTAATAGCATCTTTTCACATGCGGATTGGGCAACCATTTTTGCCACAACTTTCTTTAAATGCTTTAATACTCCCCCCACTCCCACCTTAGCTCTGCACTTACGCTCAGTCTTGGTGGGCTGTCACACCCTGATTTAAAATAAACTAAAAATGATAGGATATCTTGACTATTATCTGAGGACTAGATGGCATGTTATTGCTTTTGACTAACAAAAGTGTAGTTGGGTCATGCACTCCCTGATCTGTCTGTATGAACTCTAATTCTCATACAATATATGTAGTGTTTTACAAATAATATTTCCTTTTCTTGTATTATGGATTTAACTAGTAATTTATATCGCGGTACCAAGAGAGAGTAATTGAAATCTATACCATAGAATTTTGATGACTTGAATCTAGAGCATGGGTTCAGATAGAGGCTAACTAAAGCTATGACAAAATACTGGCCTTTCTGTTTTCAAGGCGGCTGCCTCTTTGGTTGATTCTGTTCTAGTACAGAGTATGACCAAATGTGGCCTCCGGTGTCCCAGTCAAACAGCTGCCAAAGCAGCCCCAAACTCCTGTTGCTAATACAACACAGTAACCCTTTACATTTGGGGGCAAATGGGGCCAGCATTGTTCAGCTTTGTCAAATGTCATTTTACCAGGATGTAAATAAAAAAATGGTATCTTCTCCCAGAAATGACAGAGGTAGGATAATGCATATAGAAAATTTATTTGTTAATACTTCAGTGTAAGAGCAGAGAAAGCAGCAACATACCTAATGCTGTTTTACTAAACATTTCTTCAAACTATTTATTTATTTAGTATGCAATCATTTCCCCATAAAAATCGTTTGAAGTGCACCTTAGACCATCTGCACAAGAGTGTGGTGGTGTTGCTACAAGATCCTTGTTCAGTAAACATAAGTTGCCCATGTAAAAGGACTGGTAGTGGCCTTGTTCCATTCCTTAAAAAGCTGTACTGTGCTGAAGGTCATGGGCAAGTCCCAGCATAGCAGTGTCGTTTGGCCACTGTTTTGCTATTGGTAGAGTCCTTCTGTCCAATTCTGCGAGCCACTGTCTCAGTGCTGTGTGTACTGATACCATATTGTGTCATTAGCATATTAAAATCTATACATTGTCCTAGTTCGACAAGCAGCAAGCCCCCACATGGCGGTGTGGGGCTAATGTAGGGCTGCTGCAGAGCTCATAAGAAGGTACTATTTGCGTTTTCTGTGCATAAACGCCCAAATTCCTTTAAAGTGCTGCCACCATGGGAGTTGAGATGACCCCTCCAGAGCACTTCCATGAGAACCCAGTGACCTTGTGTGAGGGCTGCCACATGTTAGACCCATGCCACAAAAAGGAATTTTTGTTTCTGTTTCTCATGGAAATGAAATGGACCACTTTCTGTTGGTGGAAGATACAGATTTATAGAAGATTCTTGGCTATATGAAACCATGTATATTATCTACCAGTTAAGGTTAGTGAAATGAAAGGAACTGCCCCATGTTTACAGCAAATCATTTTGTGGCATTAAAATGACACCAGCTCCTTAGGGAAATAAGTTTTTTAAAAAGTTTTTTAAAAACCCAAATTGTGATTTTCACTTTTTAAATTTGGAGTGTTCAGAAACATTGAAATGTTAACACAGTTGTCTTCAAATTTCTGCCTGAAAGGCAGGGAAATAGCAAGCAGGTTGATTTTAAAAAGTTTTTGCTTGAACAGCTACATAGTCAAACATTTACTCAGCTGAACTCCTGCATAAACTAACAGCGGCAAACACTCCAATGAAACTAACTTGGAGCATTTGTATTCAGATCTTTTGTAAATGAGCTGTTGACTCATCAAGCTATTTATGTTTTAGCTAGTAACTTTTTCCTGTTTTAAAAAAAATCTGATATGTGTGTGTGTTTCGTTCGATACTCTGATGTGGTGGCACTGCACCAAGCAACTGGGCACAAGCTCACTAATATAAATATATAATAGTATGTTTAATTGTTTTTTAACAATTCCCCCCATGTTTTTATCTGTTCTTATTTTTATATGTAAGCAGCCTTGTGTTCCTGTCAGGGAAAAAGGCAGGAGACATATATGTTGTGTAGGCCATAACACTGGGACACGTTGGGTAAAAATAATGAGTTTAAAACTTAGTAGATTAGATTGAGAGTGGTGGTCCGTATATTCTTTTCTAACTTTATTTTCAGCTAAATTCTCACTGCCAGATACTCTACTGAACACATTATTTGAAAGCAAATAATAGAATTGTATGTAATAATAATAATAATAATAATAATAATAATAATAATAATAATTTATTTATACCCCGCCCATCTGGCTGGGTTTCCCCAGCCACTCTGGGTGGCTTCCAACAGAAGTTTCAAGAGGTCATTGTTTGCTGTGACCCCCCCCTCCCTAGTTCATTGTTTTAGCCCATCCTTAACGTTAGCTAATGTGCTATTTTTAAATATGCATGCCAGCACGAATTAACATTCAAATTTATGCAAAGTTATATGGGCGTAGTAATATATGTCTGTCTCATTTGAAAATGCATTTGCATGGCTACTGCCACTGGGGGGCTCTGGAGTTAACAGCGACGTCATTGTTCCGAATCAATATCAGACAGTATCCTGGCATTATAGTTTCAAAATAGCCATATTGGAATTATATGCCTACTTAGGAAGCTGCCTAATACCAAGTCAGACCCACTGATCCATCTAGCTTAGTGTTGTCTACACTGACTGGCAGTGGCTCTCCAGGGCTTCAGACAGGGAGTCCATACAATATTCAGAACAGGGAATAGAATTCCTCCCCTCCCCACCAATAAAATAGATGAAAGGATCTTTTCTCAAATTTTAATTGCAATAACTTGAGACTTAACTCCTTTTTGTGGAGAGGGAGAGGATATTCTGAATCACTTCTTATTGGGAGTGGCAACATATGGCCTCCAAGCTGCAAGCAGCTTCCAGTCATTTCCTTGTCTCTTCTTAGAATCTCACTTTTTTTCTCTTTCTTTATTTCTTTGTTTGATGAAAGAGTCTCGTTAGAGTGAAGGCTGAGATTATGATTGATTTGTGTATTTAAGGTTTAGAAGCAAGAGTGCAAAGTTAGAGCTTCTAGTGTGTTTTAAATCTAAATGTGCGCTCTCATTTTGAATATTTGAGCATAGTAATACTAGTTGGTGGGTGGAGATTCATTCTTTGAGATATACTGCAGGATTTGTCTCCTGAAAAGGAAATGATGGGCAAAGTGCAGAGTGAAAGGTACATGAGTGATTTCAGCAAAGGAGGTTGAAGTGCTTTAATGGTAAAGATTACAAGCAATACTATATGCTGGATTCACGTCATGTTGTCACTCAGCATTGCTGAACTCCTGCTTCTCTTTTAAAATTGCCCAATTTCCTCAAAAGGGACTGCTCTAATGTTAGCATCCATTGCTAGCTAGCTGCTTCCTTCTGATTCGTGACATATTTTCCACATGAAACTTCCAGAAGAGCATGTTGCCAAAGGCGGAATCTTGCCAACATTGCAGGTGGTGTAGGAATGGTTAACAAACAGAAATAAATGTGGTGGTATGTTGTTGTTGTTGTTTGTTTTAAAAGCCACCAACTATTGAAAATTCAGTATGAAGCCAGAGAGACAATAATATGTGATCCATGTTGCCATTATTCAGAAGTCGGGAGGCTTCAAAATGAAATGAAATAATGAATTTCAAAATGGAGGTTAAGCAAATAAAAATGGGTTACCGGACAAAACATGGCAGAGGCCTGGGTTCCACACCACCAATTTATCACATGTGGGTAAGTGGGAATCACTGGTGGTGTGGAGGTGCCAACTTCTAAACAAAACAAAACTTTGCTATGGAATCCCTGTACCACCCTTCCTCATCTTGCCTGCCAAAATCCCTTCACCATTCCCAGTGTTTCCTCTTTGGATCTGAGCATCTTCCCCGGACCTTTCCACTCCCCATCATGTGGACTCCTCTTTGAACACCCTCTTACGTGCCAAAGTAGCTGTTTCCCCAAATCCTGAGTGCTGCCCCAGATTTCACTGCTATATTCCAATCTCATTCTTCATTGCCACTGCCACCGATTCTATGCTTCTTTCAGTTTCACAGAAATGCGAGCAAATGGAACACTATACAGTTATTGTGGCTTGTGCTACTAATTTGTATCAGAAAGGGGAAAGGGTGGTGCCCTAGTGACCATTAGTAGATCAGCCCCTTTTATGCTACTGAAGGCATTGCTTCCCATCTCAGATGGTTCAGTAAGATGTGGGAAGTCTGCTGTCTGCCTTTGGGATACCATGGGTGAGCTCCCGTTGGTCTGTCCCAGCTCCTGCCAACCTAGCAGTTTGAAAGCATGCCAGTGCAAGTAGATAAATAGGTACCACTCTTGCGGGAAGGTAAACTGTGTTTCCGTGCGCTCTGGTTTCTGTCACGGTGTTCCGTTGCGCCAGAAGCGGCTTTGTCATGCTGGCCACATAACCCGGAAAACTATCTGCAGACAAACGCCAGCTCCTTCAGCCTGAAAGCGAGATGAGTGCCGCAACCCCATAGTCACCTTTGACTGGACTTAACCGTCCAGGTGTCCTTTACCTTTTTTTTACCTTTAATCTTCCCCAATGTGACCGCTCTGGCTTGGGTTAAATAGGAGTTTTAATTCAAAACACCTGCAGGGCATCAGGTTGTGGAAGGCCAGGCCTACAGATTGCTTTCTGACAACCAGGAGTCCCCTTTTCCTGTTCATTTTCAGTGTGAGCCTTGCCAATATATGTTTTTAAATATATATACATGCACAGCACAAGTGCTGAGTGAACTTTTAATAGCCATGTGTGAACAACTGAGCAGATACCATATCTGAAGACCATCCTGATTTTCTTTACAAACAGCTGGGCTGCCTTTTTCAGTGCCCTTACGTGTCTTATTGAGACCCTCTTATGGTCTGCACTAGCTTGTTTACTGCTCCGCTAACCCAGAAATAGTACCTCGGGTTAAGAACTTTGCTTCAGGATGAGAACAGAAATCGTGCTCCAGCGGCGCGGCGGCAGCAGGAGGCCCCATTAGCTAAAGTGGTGCTTCAGGTTAAGAACAGTTTCAGGTTAAGAACAGACCTCCAGAACGAATTAAGTACTTAACCTGAGGTACCACTGTATAATGTTTCATTCACATTAAATAGTAGTATGGAACCACATCTCCTTAAATATCATTGTTTGTTAGCTTTTTCTAATCTGTTCCAATTAGGAAGACTTTTAAATACATTTTGATTCAGAATGGCTAATTGGTTTAGGATTAGGGAGGTGGAGACTATTTGTATTTGAGTTTCAGCTATGAGAAGCTGCTCTCTTAAAGTAACCGCTTAAAACTGAACCAATTGCTTTTTCTTACAAAGAACTGTGGGGAAAACATCTTTGTTGATCATTGCATGGCACAATAGATTGTGTACTTACGTTATATCTTGTTACTAAGGGCCAGGGGCTGGGCAGACTGCCGCAGGTGTCATCCACTGACAGATCTGGGTGACTTTGACTCATTTTTTGTGCTTAATAGCAGTCTGATCTCTTCAGTTGGTTCTTTCAGTACTGTAAACCAGGACTGGCCAGCCTTTGGTCTCGCAAATGTTGAAGGTTTTTAACTCCCATCAATCCCAGCCTGTGGCCAGGGATAATGAGAGTTGTAGTCAAACATCTGGTAGGCTTTAGGTTCCCTAAGCCTGCTGCATTTGACCATTTCATGGGCCTTTACCTTCAGTCTCATAGAGAACACTGCTGAGTAACGATTACCAGACCTTTCTTCTGGTTGAGATTTTGTACTTCCTTGTGGGGCAAGAGTCAGGTAGAAAAGGGCAGTTGTATAAGAAAGGAAACGGGCAGATCAAAACAGAAAGGAAACCTGAAAGGGAGCAGATCCTTTGAGTATTCCAGCTAGCATCTGTCTGCAAAAGCCTACCATATTTTTATGATTGCAGCAATCAGTTAGTATTTATTTTGAAGTATATCATCAGCAAATAGGCTCGTTTGAAGAAATCCGTGATTATAATCTGGCATTTTTTCCTTGGCGATTTGAATTAACCTTGATACTAACAGAGTAGCTAGTTTCTATACTAAGGGAAGTGATTAGTCACACTAAAGGAGAGACTCAACAAAAACCTGTTGCCTAAGTTTCACATTCCATTGGCTGTTTCCTGCTTGTTTCATGTTTATTTCCATAGGTGTACAATAAGCTGTTTGCAGAGTGCCATGTCAGATTGGACTGAGCTTTGCACAGTTTTAGCAGTTTACTGAGACATTTTAAAAATAACTATACATTGAGCCTTACAATGAACTTCCATCAGAGTACTTTTTCATTTCATGGGAATGCAGCAAAAGTTGCAGTTATTTTTTTGTTATTGTGTGGGTACATCATGAAAGTAGACACCAGTGGTAAATCCAGGTGGATCAGGCTTTTTTTTTTTTTTTTAAGTCCTGGTCACTCACCTTATATCTGCTAATGATTGGCTTTGTTGCAAATACATCAGGAAGGACCATAGCTCATTAGCAGAGCCTAATGCTTGCATGTAAAAGTTTTTGGTTCAATCCTTGCCATCTCCAAGGATTTCCCTTTGCCTAAGACCTGATAGAGCTGTTGCAAGTTTGAGTAAGCTAGTCCTTCTGAACCTGGTACCCTCCAGCTATTTTGGACTACAATTCCTGTCAGCACCAGCCTGCATAGCCAATAGTCAGGGATGATGGGAATTGTAGTCTAACATGCCTGGAGGACATCAGGTTGAGGAGGCTGGAGTAGACAATAATAGGCTAGGTGGTGTATAGTCTGGGAGCTAGAGTTTAAAAATGGGATGATTTCTATCTTTCCCCCCTCATAACCCTTGTCCCTAGTAAAATTACCAGTCACAATGTCCATTAGTAATTAGTAGCTGTCACTGAAAAACATTTTAATTATGTAAAAATAGAAGCCAAAAGTACATAGTATATATTTTAGGTCTATGGGTGATACCTAGGTGCTAAATAATCAGATTAGGCCCCTAATAAAGCAGCTTGGTTATATCATTTACACCAAGCTACAGAGACTGAGAGATCCCCTGTCTTTAGTTCCACCAGGTTACCTGAACTGTTTCCTCCTCATTTCTGTAACAGCAAAAATGTGAAGAATTGGCACCTGAGTATGTGTGTGTTTTCTTCCAATCTCCTCCTCCTTTCTCTTGCGTGTCACGCTTTTCAGTTTGTAAGTCTGAAGGCGAGGACTGTGTTACTACTGATTATTGTAAGCTGCTCCGAGAGCCGTTTCAGTTAAAAGAGTGTGGTAAAATGCATTAAATAAAAGCAAAGGGTTCTCACGACTTTCAGGTAGGCTATTGCTAGAGAGGCCTGGCCAGTTTTCAAGGGAAATAAATTCTCCTTGACTACACAAACAGTGTCTCCTTAGGGAAGGGGAAGTCAGTGGACCACATGCTTTTGTTTCTGTAGAATCAGTCTGAATCCTTTCTGCATGGGGTCTCATTTTACTGATGTGAGGGCTTCTTGCGTGGATGAGTGCTGCCAGGTGAATAGTTTATTTTGGGAAGGCTTGTTGTGATGAAGTTTGAGAATCTTTTCCAGTGCTCTTCGTCCCCTTTGTTCATATAAGTTTGGATAGCATGTCTTTCTATAATGCCAGTTGACACTTCCATTATGCCAATCTATATATACAATTATTGTTTGCTGGCATCTTTGGGTTTTGACAGTATAGCCAGTGTTTGCCTTTTCTTTGCTGTTCCTATGTGTTCTACTTGGGATCAGTGGAGAAACACCATACCAGGTCTGTTGACCTTTAGCTTTCAGCAAGTTTACAAGAAGTAAAGTATTATTGCTATGGCAATAGCAATAGCTGTGACCTACCATAGCTAAAGGGACGCAGGTGGCGCTGCGGTCTAAACCACAGAGCCTAGGGCTTGACGATCAGAGGGTTGGCTATTCAAATCCCCGCGACGCGGTGAGCTCCTGTTGCTCGGTCCCAGCTCCTGCCAACCTAGCAGTTCGAAAGCACGTCAAAGTGCAAGTAGATAAATAGGTACCGCTCCGGCGGGAAGGTAAACAGTGTTTCTGTGCGCTGCTCTGGTTTGCCAGAAGTGGCTTAGTCATGCTGGCCACATGACCCAGAAGCTGTACGTCGGCTCCCTCGGCCAGTAAAGCGAGATGAGCGCCGCAACCCCAGAGTCGTCCGCGACTGGACCTAACTGTCAGGGGTCCCTTTACCTTACCATAGCTAAGTTTGCACCTGTCTCTTTGTGATGAAACTTCCCAGTCAGTGTACCTGCTACTAGATTATGGCACAACACCATAAGTAAGCAGGCACAGTGGGGCAACTTAAGTATGACGGCATTTCAAAATTTCTTCAACCCAGTTCAGAGGACCTGTGCTCTCTAGTAGTGTTAGAAACTGAGGTATGAAAGCTAGGAGTTAAATGGCACCTTAAACCTAGGTTATGGGCGCAACAACAGAATGTCTAGGTGCGCTTTTTTATAAAGAATACAAAGCTGAAAATGAATGAACTGCAGCTAAAATCTTATGTTCATTTCCCACATGGTCTAGTCCTCATCTGAAGACTGCAGAAAACAAAGCCATGCTTCCCTTGCCCCCCTCCCTGATATTCTTAAGAGGGTCTCTTCAGAGAGTGGCTGGAAATGAGGAGGCAGAAAAAGGCCCTCCTTTCCTTCCACTGTGCAGTTTTAATTGGAAATCTTAGGTGCAGTACTGCGCCCAGAGCTCAGAAACTGCTCGCACTAATGAAATTCCCTGTTGCAAAATGCACCTACAACAATGGGAGTTTCGAACGCTGTTCTCAAGACCCGAACATGCAGGGAATAACATTGGAGAATGTAATAGCAGTCCTGCTTCGTCAGAATGTTGGCATTGCTGAGTAACACTCTTGTGCGATACCTCTCGATTAAACATTTTTTGAAAAACAAATGCAAATGAAAGTTGCCTCCCTCCCCAAACCATAAACTTCCCTGTTGCCCAGCAGTGCTGAATGAGGTGCTCTCTGGGGTATTGTTGGAGGACGCCAGGATGATATTCCTAGGGGACTTCAATATCCACACAGAAGATACTGAGCCAGCTAGAGACTTCATGGTCTCCATGACAATTATGGGTCTCTCTAAAATGCTCATTGGTCCAACATAACAGGCAGGACACGCCTTTGATGTAGTCTTTTTCCCAAGTGATATGAGGAATGGACTGCCCTCTGAGACTGATGGAACCTGATGTGTTCTCTGGGGCTTTTATTTTTCTCTTGGTGTGTTTAAATCATGATTTATTTATTTTTTACTTTTTGAACAAACACTGTCCCCCCTTTTCTTTACAAAAAAATAAATAAATCCAAAAGTGGGTTACAATTGCAATAGGTTAAATTAATTATTTAATAACTGCATTGGTTTAAAACAGTCAAACCTGCTCAATAGGTAATCTTCATCTCTTGGTTTTGGCCTTAGGCAATATACTGTATTGCAGTATGCTGATATAATTCTGACATATGCTTCGTTCTTCTATGGGTTACTGCATTTGGGGTATGTGAAGCACTTTGAAGTCTCAGTAATTTTAGTGGGAGTACCTGCTGTAGTCTTTCTGATTGAAAATAGTGGGACTGAAAGTACATTATTTTTATCAGTAGTGGTATTTATTTTATTTTATATCTGACACAAATTAGAGAAATGTAAACAAAACCTCCTCTCAGCATAGCCATGAAATGTAACCTGCCCAAAGTAAGAAGAGTGATGTTCAGCAGTTGATTCATTTTTCAATCCCCATCCACTTAATACGAAAGGAAAAAAGTAATGTGTGTTTTCCTAAACTGTTAATTGTTTTCTGGCTTTTCTTTCTAACATTCTTTTTTTGTTATTCTTGATTTGTAGGAGCTTGAAGAAATCCGCAAATGTGGAATGAAGAACTTCCGTAATATCCAAGTTGATGAAGCTAACTTATTGACTTGGCAAGGGCTTATTGTTCCTGTGAGTGTGAAAGCAGCTTTTTTTGGTTCCAAAAGTGCTACTGAGGTCGTTTGCACCTAGTGATAATAATAAATAATAATTATTTTATTATTTATACCCCGCCCAGCTAGCTGGGTTTCCCCAGCCACTCTAGGCAGCTCTCAGCATATATAAGAACATAGTAAAACATCAAACATTAAAAACTTCCCGATACAGGACTGCCTTCAGGTGTCTTATAATAAAAGTCGGATAGTTGTTTATTTCCTTGACATCTGAAGGGAGGGTGTTCCACAGGGAGGGTGCCACTACCAAGAAGGCCCTCTGCCTGATTCCCTGTAACTTCTCGCAGTGGGGGAACCAGCAGAGGACCTTTGGAGGAGGACCTTAGTGTCCGGGCTGAACGATGTGGGAGGAGACGCTCCTTCAGGTATACTGGGCCAAGGCTGTTTGGGCTTTAAAGGTCAGCACCATCACTTTGAAGTGTGCTTGGAAACGTACTGGGAGCCAATGAAGATCCTTTAGGACTTTTGTTATATGGTCCTGTCAGCCACTTCCAGTCACCAGTCTAGCTGCCATATTCTCGATTAGTTGTAGTTTCTGGGTCGCCTTCAAAGGTAGCCCCACATAGTCAGTAGTCAAAGCAGGAGATAATCAGAGGATGCACCACTCGTGACAGTCTACAGGCAGGTAGGGTCTCAACTGGCGTACTAGGTGAAGCTGGTAGACCTCTGCCCTGGAAACAGAATTGACCTGCACCTCCATGGACAGCTGTGAGTCCAAAATGACTCCCAGGCTGTGCACCTGATCCTTCAAGGGCACAGTTACTCCATTCATGACCAGGGAGTCCCCCACACCTGCCCGCCCCCTGTGCCCCCGAAACAGTACTTCTATCTTGTCAGGAGTCAGCCTCAATCTGTTAGCTGCCATCCATCCATCCATCCTCCAACCACCTCCAGACACTCGCACAGGACCTTCACTTGTTCAGATTTGAAGGAGAGGTAGAACTGGGTATCATCCGCATACTGGTGAACGCCCAGTCCAAACCCCCTGATCTCTCCCAGCAGCTTCATATAGATGTTAAAAAGCATGGGAGAGGACCGATCCCTGAGGCACCCCACAAGTGAGAGCCCAGGGGTCTGAACACTCCCCCGCAACACCACTGTCTGGACGCAGCCCAGGAGGAAGGAGAGTGCTCCCAGCTCCCAACTCCTCTAGACGGTCGAGAAGGATGTCATGATCAATGGTGCCTGAGGCTGCTGAGAGATCCAGTAGAACCAGGAAACAGCTTTTACCTCGGTCCCTGGCCCACCAGAGATCATTGACCAGCGCAACCGCAGTCTCAGTCCCATGATGAGGCTTGAATCCCGATTGAAAGGGATCCACATGGTCCACATCCTCCAGGCGTGCCTGGAGTTGTTCAGCAACCACCCACTCAGTCACCTTGCCCAAGAATGGATGATTTGAGACTGGGCGATAGTTGGCCATATTGGCCAGGTCCAAATATTTTTTTTAAAAGAAGCGGTTTAATAACCTGTCCACATCCTCAAAGGTAACAGATTGGAATTGATCCCACGCAACTTGACCAGACAGGACTCTAGCACTTTCCTGCCCTGGCCTCACTACCACAGCGGAACCTACCTCTTCCCGAATCTGAGTGACTTTATCTGGAAAAAAACTTTGCAGAATCTTTGCAGGAGATCTTGGGTTCTTCACCAGACCCCAATGATGAAGGTGGTTTTGTTAGATTGCGGACCACCTAAAGAAGTCTCCTGCTGTTTCCTGTAGATGCAAAAGAGGCGGCGAAGAAGGTCCTCTTTGCCATTGCGTTCACCGCTTAGCAGGCTCAACGTTGAGCTCTAACCCGTGTTCGGTCCAATTGGATAGTTGCTTAATGAAAGCAACAACAAATGACTGTTCCCACTTACAATTAGGCTGCCAAAATGAAGAAAGCTAACCAGGAAAGGACATGTGGGGATGGGCGGTGAGCTCAATCTCATCCTGCTGCTAAAAACATCCCTAAGCTTTGTGTATCTTCAGAGGCACCCTGTTCTTCTGCCTGCCCATCTTTTGCATTGATAAACTTGATGTCTAGCCGCTCCTGCCTTAGAGGCAGGATGGCTAGAATTTTAAAGGTTATTGAATCTATGAGCACACAGTTGGTATGGATCCAAAAGAGGGGGGATTTTCCAAGATGTTTTCCTTTGTGCAGTAAGCCTCCCTCCATCCCTTGGTTTCAGTTGTGATTTGCCATGTGGCGTTCTCAGTCAGCAGCACAAGCACCTAAGCCTCTTGCGTGGTGCAGGGCTTTCTGAGTTCTGGCCATTGGATTCGCCTCCCTGAAGAGAAGAGGTGTTCCTGCGTAATTTTTAATCCCTCCCCTCCCATTTTTAAATGATCTCAAACTGCGTTTGCCTTCTGGTTCCTTGCAGCCACTGTTTCCATGGATTCATTAGTTCATTTGTTCTTTTAACTGGTGTTGCTCTTGAATGCAGGTTTCCTTACTGAATTTTAAACTTCAGCTTTAGGGAAAGTTTGGTTTTTAACACAATGTTTCAGACCAGTGAGGTGCCAAAATGGCAGCCGGCTTTTGTGCCTATTGAGTGCCACGCGGCCTAGGCACCCAGCTCTTTCCCTGATGCTTTTATTTCCTGGTAGAGAGAATGCTGTTATTGCAGCAGCGTCAGGGAATGAGGCAGAGAGCATGAGCTAGTAGTGATCAACAGGGAGAGAAGCAGGAGGGGAGAGGAGTAGAAAGAGCCAGGAGGCATATAGTAAGTGAGCCAGAGGGACAGCATGGTGTGGGTGTACTATGAGCAGGGAGAAGGCTTGAAGTGAAGGAGGGTAGGATGCGCTAGAGGGATACTCATTACACAAACCACACATCATAGAATGGAAGCATGTGGAATTGTGCCCTTCGTTGTTGTTTTTTAACTGCAAGGGTATTCTATACACAAGTCGGATTTATGGGGTGTTGCTCCAGAATTGGTCCTGTTCCCACTCACCGCAGAACTAGCCTTTGAAGGAAAGGGTATTTGGGCTGTTCTGAAGCGGCACCCCAGAAATCTGATCTATGGAATATCCTTCTTGAAGGCTTGACAGGGAGTGACTACCTTTTAGACACCAAACAAAAGCTGTTCCAATCCCCAGGTCATTCAGTGGATAATTGGCGGCTCCTCATTGCTGCTGTTGGATTTTTGCTGTTTTTTGTTTATCCCTCCCATCCTCGCTGCTATTATATTTTTATTATGTATTTGTATGTTATTGAAAATGAGGTTTTATCATGGTAAGGCAGTGGGGGAAATAAATGTGTCCTTGGGTGGGGAGAGAGTTTCAGTGATAGCCAGGAAGGCAATTCTAAAAGTGGGTCAAGCTACACGTGGCGGAATAGAGGGGCATGGAAATTCTCCATTCCCACACTTAAAGCTTTCCTTGGAGGGAGGCAGCGGTGGTGTTTTTCCAGTGACAGCAAGTTGCTTTGAAAAGCCTTTCTCTTGACCCCCCTGGCCTGCAGTTCTGTTGCTGGTTTGTTTTAGCAAGCCACAGCTTTTAGAGTTCAATACAAATCTCCCAAGTTCCAGTTCATTCTGCAAAGCACTGTCCTGCATGTTGCTTCTAGTAGCCGACTTCATCACTAGACTCCTCCTTATCAGCCTGTGGCATCTTTTCTGTGACACATAACACAACTCCTGGTATATTGATTTTGAATCGTTCATATATTAATGTTTTCATGAAGGAAAGCATTATAGCCATCCATTTTGTGGGTGATTCCTCTGAAATCTACCCATCCCATATTGAACTGTTCTTAATATCTTCTCATTCCAGGACAATCCTCCGTACGACAAGGGTGCGTTCAGAATCGAAATCAACTTTCCAGCAGAGTATCCATTCAAACCTCCCAAGATTACATTTAAAACAAAGATCTATCACCCTAACATCGATGAAAAGGGGCAGGTTTGTTTGCCAGTAATTAGTGCTGAAAACTGGAAGCCAGCCACCAAAACTGATCAAGGTAAGACTTCCAGCAGATGGCCATGGTTTCTCTCAGACTAATTTATATTTTTAGTGGGAATTTAAGTAGAGTTAACTGTAAAAGGTTTTGTTTAATGAGGGTTTTAGTTCTTATCTACAGTGGGTGGGATGCAGCTGCCACAAGGGATGGCATACAACATCTGACCGTAAACCCACATAAAACATTGGCTGTACCATGGTTACTTTGACAGCAGCAGTTCTGTAATAATAATAATTTATTATTTATACCCCGCCCATCTGGCTGGGTTTCCCCAGCCACTCTGGGTGGCTTCCAACAGAACACTAAAATACAATAGCCTATTAAATATTAAAAGCTTCCCTAAACAGGGCTGCCTTCAGATGTCTTCTAAAAGTAGTTATTTTTCTGTTTGACATCTAATAATAATAATAATAATAATAATAATAATAATAATAATTTATTATAATGTACAAACTCTTTATTGAAAGCTGGGAGAAAGAAAAAAGGAACTGCAAAATAAACCTGGGAAAAGGACACTATCACTGCACAGTCATGAGATTAATTCCCCATTTTCTCAACTTATTTCCCAACTTATTTGGTCAGAAATACAAGCAGACGTTGGACCCTTTTGGATGCAATAACACCAGCTTGCCAAATCATTGCTGAGCAAGCCCAGAATGATTGTCGGGTTTACACCCCCATCCCTTCGTGTCCCAGCTTCAACCCATCAGTGTTTTGGGTTGCAGTTTGGAAGTTCAACTTCTCGTGGGTTTTAATAGCTTTGTTTATGTGGTATTGGTATCACCTTTAGCGGGAGGCCATGGGCAATTGAAAACCTCTGCTGGTTTAAAAGTAAAAGAAACCAATAGGCTTGGGTGTACCGAAATACTCTTTCCTCCCCCAGCCCCGCTCTCACGCATCAATACTGACATCTTCCGTGCTTTCTTTCGGCAGTAATCCAGTCCCTCATAGCACTGGTGAACGACCCCCAGCCCGAGCACCCACTTCGGGCCGACCTAGCCGAAGAATACTCTAAGGACCGTAAAAAATTCTGTAAGAACGCTGAAGAGTTTACAAAGAAATATGGTGAAAAGCGACCAGTGGACTAAAAAAAAAAAAACCTGACAGAGTTGATGTCAGCCATGTGTGATAGAAGATCTGGAGCAGTGCATTTCAGACACACCACAAAGCAGGACTCTATGGGAAATTGACAAGTGCCACCTCTCGGTGTTAACTTGTGGCTGTTACTAACTTTCTACAGTTTCTTAATCAAAAGTGGGCTAGGTAACCTGTAAAGAAAGGATTAAAAATTTAAGATGTTCTAGTTCTGCTTTCTTTGTTTAAAATCACTGCTTCAATATACTTTTAAAGGATGCTGTTTCTCTTTTTTTTCCTTGTCAGAATTTATCAAAAATATCGTAGACTTATAATCTGCCCTTAAAAGTTCAAAAGGTTGTGGCTGTTATTTCTTATTTTCCTTACAATTCCTTCCTCCCACATTTAAGTTTTTCCCCTTATCCTTCCCTCTCCTCACCCAAAAACACCCCCCACCCCAAACAAACAAAACCCCACCATCGCACTGATGTCTTAGCAAAATTATCTCTTTGTCCTGGCAAAAGAAAAGAAAAGAAAGAGTTGAATGTTTGGCAGTTTTGCTTTCTTTATCCCTCTTTAAAATGTTGCACTGTGCTTTGTGGAACTTGGTCTCAAGTTTCTCTTAACTCCAGTTTGTAACATAATAAAATCTACCACATGTACTCCGTAAAATAATCAGAACCGAGCCTAGATCTCGTGTAAATTCGGCTGATGTGACTACAATAATGTTTATTAAATGGGGAACTCCAAGCTTTGTGTGCATGAGTGAATTACAGTATGACTTAAGTCCTGTTTCTGAGAAATTTTTGATACAGGATTTTCTGTAGCAAAAAGGAATAGTGGGATGTGATGATTTTTTTTTTTTTAGATTTTTTTTACACTTCTATTCTTAGTATCTATGCAGACTATTAGAAGATTTAATTATTCGGAACAGCATTGCAATGGGGAAATTTGCAAATTAGGGACCAAGAGGTACCAAAATGGAGGGGAGGAAAAACAAAGCCAACCCCCGCTTTTTCGGGAGGGTTACAGAAGTAGAACGTCATGCAGTGTTAATTTCAGAAAATAAATTGCAAGTCATTGAACACAGTTTCCATCTAATTACCCCTCTCCTGTGGAATTTACCTTCCTGTAATGATGGATTGTCTGATTGTTACTGGAAACACAAGAAATTTCTGTTCAGCAGTAAGTGGCCAGGGCATACATACTGCCATTCATAAAATTCTTACGCAAAATTCGCCGTCCTAAAATTGAGCTGTAATCATTTTCAGGGGTCAGCCAAACCTAAATGTATTTCTTTCTTTCTTTTAATCCCAGGCATTTCTTCTCAAGTAAGGTGAAGTTCTACCCCTTTATAACTTGAAACAACACCCTTCCGGTTTCATTTTTAGTGTTTTAAAGTTTAGGATACCCTAAGATGCAATCTAGCCATGTGACCAAAAGTGGCTTCTGAGCTGCTGAGTTTTAAACGCCTGGTTCGAGTGAGCATTTCGACCCCCATCCCTGTGGAAACTTAGTAGAGCGCAAGTAGAACATATCATATTCTATTTTGCAGGAACTTGCATTAGTAAACCTTTCCATGCCCAGGTGGGTAATTGTAAGGAGTTTGGAAGTAGGGCTTTGCCTTTGCTACATTTTAGGGCTAACGTACGTCAGGGGAGCAGTAGAGTAACCTTTTGGATTTTTAATGTTTTGTGTATACCCCTCTCTCCCCTCCTCCTCCCCCGCTCCCAACTTTTGATTTCAAACCGTAAAAGATTGACAGCCAAGTACCTCTCTGTTGAAAAGTAAAAAAAAAACAAAAAAAAGTTTTTTCTTTTATAAGTTGGGATATGAAGCATCTCTGTTTTAAGTGTTCTTAGACAAATTCTTTGGTAGGCGATTAAAGTAAAACAAAAAACAAAAAAAACTACCTTTTACTTAATGGACACTTGCATTTCCTTAAGTGTGTGTGTTCAGGCTTGGTGACCAGCACTGTCTATTTACCAAAATTTCCACAATTTTTTTGTGTCTTCATTTGCAGAAAGTTGGTACTGACTTTGTTTCATTCACGCTCACGCAGATTCAAAATAAACAAAAAAAATGCCAAATTTCATCTGTCAAGCTGAAGTGTATGTAAATCCTGCATCGCCAGCGCTTCTCACTTGAGCCCCGTTGGGTTTTCACTGCCAGTCGCATCCGTTAGCATGGTTAGCCCCCTAGTTCCGTACACGCACAGCTCTCATGTTATCCGTCACTCTTGTTAACGTTGCTAGTGAGAATATATAGCTTTTCAATTGTAAACTTCTCAGGTCAAAACTGCCTATATGTGAACTGGTGCTCTCTGAAAAGGGCCTGTGTTCAAGGAGCCACTGTTGAGAATCCCCACCTTTGTGCTGCTCTGGTGTTGCTTCCTATTACACCTAGGAATGGAGGCATGCCTGTTTTTGACCTCTCGTCTTGAGATCAGGCAATGTATAACAGTTCTTCGTTTGAGAGGCTAGTTCGCATGCTAGAAATGGATCTGTCCTGAGAGATGCATTGGTGCAGAGAATGTTAACACACGACCCAGAACCTCTGCAGGCGCAGACATTGTCTTACGACAGCAGTTTCTGTAGGCACGGCGATGCACATTTTACTTTAGGTTCCCCAGTTACGGAAATGGTCTCTGCCAATTCCATTCAGCGACTTGCTCTCTCGGCAAGGCTTTCCACTCTCCCCCTAGAACAGCTGGGCCGCATCTGATGGAAGAAAATTCAAAACACGCGAGAACCGGAAGGCTTCAGATCCTGCTGCTACTTCTTTAGTTACAAGATTATCCCCCTTGCCTTCAGCTGTGCCTCTCTAAAGATCCCACAAACTCCTGCCAATCAGCAAGGAAGAGTTTTTGTAGGTGCATAAAGCGGATGGTCAGGTGGGCTTCTTGCAAAGGGGTGTCCCATTTAAACTAGTTCTCTTAAGAGGAGGGCCTCAGTGGCTAAGGCCAATTCTTGCAGCACTGCACGCAGTCCAGAGATTCTTCCCTTCCCACTCGACCCCAGTCCCTGAAAGCTGAGAAATAGTCTTCTTACTCCTGGATATTAAGAGGTTCATAAGGACAGGAGTTAGAGGGAAGTGGGAGCCTGCAAATCCAAGGCCCATTTCTTTTACACACAGTTGTGGGGTGGGGGTTGCACCGGCCAACAAGACTGCTCCGCATACACTGTAGAGCAGTGTAATTTGAGGCATGCATGAAAGAAGAGTACAATGGCAATGCAATGTCAACTCAGGCGTTCACACTTTTTTCTTATGGTTCTGTCTGGTTCTTCAAACAAAGCTGAATTCTAAACTTGTCGTTTTGAGATCCAAGTCTACACCACCTTTTCTTGTATTGGTCTAGGCTTTCTTGCAATTCCATTCTGCTACCCTGAATAAAAATGCTCTCAAAGGCTTTGTGGCATGGCTTACTTCCCTTGCATTTATTATTATTATTTTTAACGTAGGCTTTTCGGTCTTGGTGTTAGGTTTGTTAAAACTTTTCCACCAAGCAAACGTTAAGCCTAAAGTCCTCCTATTTCCTCCCGTCCCTGTGCAATAATTCAATGTTAAAATCCTTTCAAAGGTGTATGAAGAGAGGATGGGGAGAATACTCTGTGTCTGTCTGGGTTAAATTCTCATGCCCTCCATCCTGTTGTCGTGCAAGGTTTCGTTTTGTAACATGAATACGTAAATGCCACAATATTCCTGTAGCACCTTTTAAGACCATTACAAGACAAATGTTCATAGGCAAGAAGATAGCACATCATCAGCTGTAGCTCAGTGACTGAGCACCTTCTTCTAAATAATGATTATTATTTGCATGTAGGCAGTCTCAGGAGACTTTCTAAAACCCTGGAGAGGTACTGCCAGCAGGTGTAGGCAATATTGAGCTAGATGGACCAACTGTCTGAATCAATAAAAACAGCTTCACATGCTTCTAGATGTGGGAAGAGTTAATCTCAGTTCATCCACAGAGGCATGATTGAAAAGGAGAAATATCTTTGTAAACTGGGTTATGCTGGGGCTTTTGATGACTACCGTGCTCGCAACAAGCAAAAACTGGCTACCTGTTCCCTAACATGAATTCTATTTATTTTTCTCAGAGGAGCTTGAAACAGTGTAGATGGGTCTCTTCCCCTTCCTTCTCACAGCATCTTTGTGATGCAGGGAGGGATAGAGACCCAGAAAGCTTTCTAATTAGGGCAACAGAAGCAGCTCACTTGAGCTAGCCAAAGGATCTTGAGCTTCCTGCACCTCTGTGATGTCAGGGTAGTTCAGCCAATCACCAGAGACTTCATCAGCACCAAGGTCCCTAGTTTTGCTGCAGTTAGTGAAGATGCATGTAAGGGAAAGCAATAATGAGGAAGACAAGAGCTTGTAAATTCATGTTGTAATTCAAAAGTATATTACCTCCAGAATCAAAGGCAGTATGTCTGAACAATCCCTGTTCCTGAGGACGCAAGGACAGAGCATGACTGCACCCAGGTACTGCTTGTGGACTTCCTAAAGGCATGTTGGAGGGTTGACAGGACTTTGGCCTGATTCAGCAGGGCATCTTGATGTTCTGAGACAATACTGAGCTAGGTAGACCAGCTGTCTGACTTTGCGTAAGGCAGCTTCCTTTGTCCCAGCAGTGAGATTTACCGTACTTCTGAGTGGGCATATGTAGGATTGCAATGTACAATCCTTAGGGCTCTTATGGAAAACCTGTTATCAGCTTAGTAGATTCAGTGAGTCTTGGGTTGTTTCTGTTCTTTGCCCCCCACTTCCACCCCAACCTTTCAGCCCAGCAATAATCCACAACTGGGAATGTTGAAAAAGAATAAGGAAATACAAATTTATTGCAACCCTGATGATGGAACTGCAATGGCGACCTCGGCAGAACGACGTGACATGCCTGGTCCGAACTAATTTTGATGGGTCTAAACTATCATTGTGCCTGTTGCCGGCATCCATCTATCTCGAGCGACAATGGAGTGAGCTTCTGGAGGGTGAAGTCAAAACAGCTATGCTGGCAGCAGTGAAGTGACCTCTCCCAGGTGCAAGCCTGGTCGGTGTATATGGAGGTCCTGGGCTGCCCAGATGACAAGACCCACCCTCTTGGCCTTGTCAATGTGGTCCAAAGGAAAGCAGAGCAATACGCTTGGCTGGGCTGCAAGAGTTGTCAGAAGGAGGCATTCCAAGACACCATCCAACCCTCTCAGGGGCTCCACACTGAATTTGTGTAGGGTTTATTCCATAGCCTTTTCTTCCTAGATGGGCTACCTTCCCATCTGCCCTTCAGTTCCCTCCACAGCATGTGCAGAAACCACTTTCTTGACCCTTGGGCCCATTATTGGTTTCATCCATTCGGTCCGCCAGAGCCTGTCTTCGCATGCAGGGGGAAATCACCTGGTTTAGCTGGCCAGTGCTGACAGCTTCCAGGAGCCGCAGGTGAGAGCTAGGTGTAGGGTGGGGCCCAAAGGTGGACAAACCATGACATGTCCCCCACCAGAGGCACTATCCTTCCCCCGGCACACCATAAACCCCATGATTGTGCCTAGGAGGTGGCTATTGGGATACATAAGTGGGAAGTGAGACAGGAGGAGATCAGGGGTGTTTTACTGGGAGCCAGACATGACTGACCACACCCTTTCTCCCACTCCCTGTACAGCTAGTTGTCAGCTGAAACTAGGGGATCCCACCCATCTGCATACCCAAGGCAGCCTTTTGGTTCTGTCTGGTCCCAAGGATAACTCCAAGGAACAGAACCATATTAAGCCAAGGGTTGATCTGATAGCCATCTCAAAGCCAGAACAGACTGGATGCAGATGTTCAGTGACTATAGCATGCACAGTCCTCTTTAAAAAGAGGGAGTTAATATTTTGTTTCCACATTGCCTGCATGTGCTGAAACCTTCATTTAATTTGTGGGTAAACCCAGTTTGCCTCCGAAATGATTGGCACAGGGCCACTTGTTTTAGAATCATATGCAACAATGGACCCCTATGGTCTAGGTCTGTGCAAAAGATGACTTACCTATGTATGACAGCTCCTAACACAGTCAGCCCTAGATCTGGGGACCCCACCGTTCCCCAAGATGGAACCCTTCGGGAATATTTCTGTCATTAAATCGATTTGTACATTTCACATTCTGTCCACTATTCTCATGGTGCAAGTGGTGTTTTTCATGCACAACGGCTGACAGCATTCTACGCCAACCCAACTGCCCACAACATTCAGCAGCCTGCAAATTTGTTCAACAGCCAAATTTCCAAACTTCTGACAGTGAAGCTAGCATTTAACATCAGGACTCTCGTGTGTCTCCTTGCCTCTCCAGAAAAAGCGAAATAAATTGTCTGAACTAAGGACACAGATGCCAATTCCCCACAATTTATGTACGTGGTCCTTTTCAGCTTTTATTGGCGAGGCAGGTGGCTGACCTTAGTGAAGAGCGTTGATTTAAGTTTTGAGTTCACACACTCCCTACTTCGAATCCCCTGGATAATGGACCTATATCAGTAGACCAGGCACGTCCAACTTCCAGAAGACTGTGATCTACTCCCACTATAAAAAAACTGGCAGTGATCTACCCATTGAATTGACCACAGTTGTTGAGCTTTTTGGGGGAAGGGGGGCTATCGATCAGGATACCGTGATCAACCAGGGACAGCCTGCGATTGGACATGCCTGCTGTAGACTAATAATATGTTGAATTGGCAGATCCAAATGTGTATTTTTCTGTACCAGAGTTCAAACCAGAGGCCCAACCCACAATGACAGACCCATATCATTTCTTATGCAATCGTTCCTGCTCCTAGAACCATCTGCTCTACAGATCCTACCCTGCTGGTCCTGTTACTGCCCAAGCTTTCCCTTCCTAGGGATACAACTTCTGCTCCCCAGTGCTGTGAAAATGGGGCACCACCTCTGTCCTGAGCTGCAAAGGGTGGAAGCTCTCCTTGCAAAGGGAGCCTCTGTGCCACACCATGTGGTCTATTTTTTTGGGGGGGGGGTTGGTTCTTAACTCTGCACCTCACTCAGCATCACGCTTAGCCTGGCCCAGCCCAGCCAGCAACAACTGCAGCGTCACATCCCAAGGTCTTTAAATGCACAGAGCTGGATGTTCCTTGTCCTGTAGTGGCTCTGCAACTCTGCTTTCTTGAGCGTCTCAAGTTCGTGCAAGCGTTCCCAGGACTGCGAGAAATCGTCGGGTCCCTCGCCGCAGCCCCCAACTGGCGGGACGCTGGGGTACCCTGGATGCGTCATCAGCTCAATGGTTACAGTTCTGGTTTCTTGATCTGGGCGTGACGGCGAGTCAGGAGGAATGGAGGAGTCTTCTTCAGGCAGGTAAGTCGCTGTAGCGTTATCAATGGCCCCCAGGATGTTGGCGATGGACATGTTTTTGCCCATGGTGCTAAGGCCTATATATATATCCGGCCACCTGTGAAAGGAGGAAGATGAGTGTTTAATCGCACAAGCAGCGCTGAAGGAGCAAGCATTTTCCACCCCGTTTTTCTGCCCAATCATGAAATGCAATCTATCTGGAGCGAAATATTGTAATTTTGAGATTGCCGTGGTGCCAGACCCTTCCTGCTCTGTAACGTGCTGTGAGGCATAAAGATCAGAGTCGGTAGGAGGAGGGAAGGGGGGTTCATCTTTGAGCTGTCAGTTGATTAATGGAATCTTGGTTAATTAATCACATCAGTTTTACTTGGCTGATTAGTAGCACACTGATCATGGCTGCCAGACTCCAGTCTCCTGGGATGGCATTGCTGAGGCTGCAGTATACATGGGAGAGGGAAAGGTGGAGAACCTGGAGTATTCCAGATGTTCTGGCCTACAATTCCCATACTATATACATCATCATTATTATTATTATTATACAAGTAAAGGTAAAGGGACCCCTGACCATTAGGTCCAGTCGTGACCAACTCTGGGGTTGCGGCGCTCATCTCGCTTTATTGGCCTAGGAGCCGGCGTACAGCTTCCGGGTCATGTGGCCAGCATGACAAAGCCGCTTCTGGCGAACCAGAGCAGCGCACAGAAACGCCGTTTACCTTGCTGCCAGAGCGGTACCTATTTATCTACTTGCACTTTGACGTGCTTTCAAACTGCTAGGTTGGCAGGAGCAGGGACCGAGCAACGGGAGCGCACCCCGTCGCAGGGATTCGAACCGCCGACCTTCTGATCGGCAAGTCCTAGGCTCTGTGGTTTAACCCACAGCGCCACCCACATCCCTCCTATTATACAATTAATTGTACATTTATTCAGAATCCAATTAAAACAATTTCATTTAATTAATTCAACAAAACAGATAGACATGATCTAGTGATACCAGCTTTTCTTTTCTCTTTTACACCTCCAGTGCCCCCGCCCCCGCTGCCCCCTTGCCTCTTAGCACCACCCTAGGTAATCTCACCCACCTCAAGGGGGTGGTACTGCCCAATGTTTTAGAGGAAGAACGCTTTTGTTGTTGCAGAATCTTATAGAGAAGGGGAAAGGGAATACCTCTTTGGGGATGATGTTTGCCATTTGCAATATTTGCAAGAATTTATATTTTTGGGGGGTGGGGGGAAAATCTGTTGTGCAATTAGTCTCTGAACCCTTTCACCCAAACAGAAGGCTCTCTTTAAAAGACACACCAAGCCTTCTAGAGGCACTATGACTATTCTGCTTATGAAATCTTGCGTTTCGGACACATGACTCTTCTTCCCCAGTCTTCCACTGGATCGCTTTAGTAATAGTTATCATTCAAGTTGTTTTAACTTGCTGGCCAGTGACTCTCTTGTCTCCCTGCTCTTATTCTGGCTTGTTTTAAAAAATGATTGTATCTTGCTTTTATAATAATCGTATTTTAGCCATTTTTTAAAATGCTGGCCTGTGGCTGTAATAAACGGAAACTCTATTTAAGGCACTCGGTGAGCTGGAAACTACGGGAACAGAGAAGAAAGCCAAGCACTGGCAAAAACCAGAGTTGTTTCCAAAGTGCAGGTTGCTCACCTTATTTTGTGTTTCCTAAACACATCCACTGTGTTTAGGGAATCCTTCTCCACGCCCAGGTAAAAGGCCATTAAGTGTGGGTCTATCCAATCGCAGCGGGGAAGGTCTGGCTCGATGGGGACTCGAGTATAGGTGATCCCATAATCCTCCAGCACCTGTGCAAATACGTTTCTGATCTCTGGAAGAGAAAAGGTTACTAGGAAGTCCCTCTCCAAGAAAGTAAAGGTAAAGGGACCCCTGACCATTAGGTCCAGTTGTGGCCGACTCTGGGGTTGCGGCGCTCATCTCGCTTTATTGGCCGAAGGAGTCGGCATACAGCTTCCGGGTCATGCGGCCAGCATGATTAAGCGGCTTCTGGCGAACCAGAGCAGCGCACAGGAACGGCGTTTACCTTCCCACCAGAGTGGTACCTATTTATCTACTTGCACTTTGACGTGCTTTTGAACTGCTAGGTTGGCAAGAGCAGGGACCGAGCCATCGGAGCTCACCCGTTGCGGGGATTCGAACCACCGACCTTCTGATCGGCAAGCCCTAAGCCCTGTGGTTTAACCCACAACGCCACCCGCGCCCCTTCTCCAAGGAAGTACAGGCCTTTAAAAGAGAGAGAGCATATTTTCTTTTGAGTCCAAGTCTATTACTGGCTCTGCTCTCTTGCTCCTGGCCGATTCAATTCCCTGGGAAAAGGAACTGACTGTGAAAACCCCTCTGTAGCTCTGTGAGGGGAATAGGGGCCTCCTAACAACTCTCAGCACCCTTAACAAACTACAGCTCCCAGAATTCTCTGGGGGAAAGCGACGGCTCTTTGTAAACAGCTGTCGCTTCCCCTTCAGAGAATTCTGGGAGCTGTAGTCATGGTGCCGTCCTGGAGAACCAGTGTGGTGCAGTCGTTAGAGCAGGGTAGTCCAACGCATGGCCCAAGGGCCACATGCAGCCCTCAAGACTTGGAAACATTTGACGGCGCTCCCCCGCCCCCGTGGCAGACCCCTTCTCAAAGCCAGTTAAGCAGGTGCTGGGCTCTGGGAAGAAGGGTCTGTCAGGGTCTGAGAGTCCTCCCTCCTCCTTCCCAAAGCCTAGTTAGCACTTCCCCAGTTTAGGGAAGGAAGTGGGTGCTTCCTTCCCAAAGCCCTGCCAGCACCCCACAAGAACTGCGGGGTGTGTGTGTGTGTGTGTGAAAGCAGTGTGCGGTATGAGAAGTTGGGCCATCTCAAAGGACCACGGCTGTGCGGATTCTGTTAGCTCAGAAATGGAAAGATGGTACAGCTCCGACCAAAGAAGAGACAAAACTGATGAACTACCGTATTTTTTGCTCTATAAGACTCACTTTTTCCCTCCTAAAAAGTAAGGGGAAATGTGTGTGCATCTTATGGAGCGAAGGCAGGCTGTGCAGCTATCCCAGAAGCCAGAACAGCAAGAGAGATCGCTGCTTTTGCTGCGCAGCGATCCCTCTTGTTGTTCTGGCTTCTGAGATTCAGAATATTTTTTTTCTTGTTTTCCTCCTCCAAAAACTAGGTGCGTCTTATGGTTTGGTGCGTCTTATAGAGCGAAAAATACTGTATATGCTGAGATGGCAAAACTTACAGGAAGAATCAGAAACTAGGAAGAGGAGATCTTTAATGAAGAATGGAGAAAGTTTATACCCATACCTCGGGTTGAATGTGCTTCAGGTTGAGCGCTTTTGGGTTGCGCTCAGCGGCAACCCGGAAGTAACGGAGTGCGTTACTTGCGTTACTTCCAGGTTTCGCCGCTTGCGCATGCACAGATGCTCAAAATGACATCACGCGCATGCGCGGAAGCGGCAAAATGTGACCCGCTCACGCGCAGACATGTCTTACGTTCTATTTAGGATGCGAATGGGGCTCCGGAATGGATCCCGTTTGCATCCTGAGGTTCCGCTGTCATTGATTTGAAAAACAATTGTAAACAATCACATACACTGGTAGGATTGACAGAAAACCCGTAGTGAAAATCTGAACTATGGATTGGCAAAGGATTTATAAGAATAGAGTTATGAAAGAGATGCAGAGGGGGAAGTCATTAAATTAAGATCCACAATGGGGAGGGAGGGAAGTCAAAGGGGATTATATGTCTATGTTTTTCATTTGTTTGCTTATGTAAAATAGAAAATGAAAAAATAAAATTTATATTAAAAAAGCAAAGTTTGGCCACCCTCAGTTAGAGTGTCGGTCTAAGACCTGGGAGACCAGAATTCAAATCCCCACTCGGCCATGAAGCTCACTGGGCGACCTTGGACCACAATCTCTGGCTCTCAGCCTAACCTATCTCGCCAGGTTGTTGTGGCAGATTAAATTAGGATGGGGAGAACCACGTATCCCACCGTGAGCTCCCTGGAGAAGAAGTGGGGGGCTATAAATGCAATAAGATAAATAAATATAAATATATAAAATGGCGCTTCAACTCTGGGGACTGAATTACTCTCTTTCTCTTAGTTTAAGCCTTTACAAGCTGTAAGATCTCAGTGTTTGGGATTGGAGTATCATTTTGTTTCGTTTTATATAAGTTTTATTTATTTTTCTGTTTTCCAATTTAAAATACAGTGGTACCTCGGGTTGCATATGCTTCAGGTTACATACGCTTCAGGTTACAGACTCTGCTAACCCAGAAATAGTGCTTCAGGTTAAGAACTTTGCTTCAGGATGAGAACAGAAATCGTGCTCCGGCGGTGCGGCAGCAGCAGGAGGCCCCATTAGCTAAAGTGGTGCTTCAGGTTAAGAACAGTTTCAGGTTAAGAACGGACCTCCGGAACGAATTAAGTACTTAACCCGAGGTACCACTGTACTAATTTTTACATCCTTAAGATATCAAAGGCTTCCTCTTCTTCTCTTTCCATGGTTCATTTTACATACTATAAATCCTTGCATATTTTACAAAAACTATACCATTCAGTATTCCATTATTGCATCCATCAGAACTTATTTACACTGTTGAATTCATCTTAATGCTGCCAGCGCTTTCAGCTGTATGCAATGAATTCCCATATATCCAATAAACGTTTCCCAGTCTTCAATGTTATGTTCTTCTTGTACTCTTATTCTGTATCATTTTGTACCATGGCAGAACAGCTTGTAATATTCTGAAGGCAGCGCCCTGTGTGGGGGGGTGGATAGGGCAGGAATACAGAGAACCAGTGCGGGTGAACTGCGGACTGAATGGGAACAGAAAGAGCTCCTTTGGGGATGGGTGTGAGTGACATGGAACTGGAACCAGATCCATTCTTAAACCAGCTTCCCAAGTGCCGAGACTGCGGCGTTGCCGGCTACTGCGAGAGACAACGCTGGGACCTCCCTGCTCTCCAATTGTCACTGGAGCACCTGTTCTTTGAGCTGGCGAAGCAACGAAATAGACTCCCAATAGGTTCTCGCAACAGCAGCGAGAATGTTGGCGGCCAGTTACTGGAAAGGAAATAATACCCCAACAAAATGGGCATGGTTAAGTAAATTATGGGAGTATCTGGAGTTAGCCAAATTGACGGACGTAATAAGGCATAAATCTAAAACTATCGGACAGAAACAATGGGGATGCTTAAATGAATATTTACACAAACGGAGCTCAAATATGAAAGTTTGTGCTTAGACTAACCTTGTGAAGTATATAGAGAATACAAAGAATTGATGGATTACGAATTAAGAAAGGAAGTGATTGAAGAACAGATGTTAAGGTGAACTAGATAACCAAGAGGCGTGTTGTGAATGCGGTGGAAGTCTGTTATAATATTTTAACTAGGATTTATATACTGAAAATGTTTGAAATATGAATTTGGTATTTTGGTTATGGAAAGTATTTTTTCTCTTCTTTCTTTTTCTTGTTTCTTTTCATCTTATCTTTCAACTCTTTTCTTTTCTAATCTACATTTTGAAAAATGCGTAGATAAATGTTTTTATGTCTTTATGTATTGTTCAGTATTGTTTCTATTTCTTTTTATCTTTTATTTTCTTGTAATATTCAATAAAATTTAATAAAGACGTATTAAAAAAAAGAAAAAGAAAAAAAGAAATAGACACCTGCCAGGCTTAAGGCAACCTAAGCAGGACAGGTAACCTGACCCAAGGCAGCTGCCTGTGAGCTCAAGCCCTGGAGAGGTACAGGAGGCGGGGGGGGGGGTCTCCAGTTCTTCAGTGTCAGAAAGCCCCCATCATCTAAGGCATGGGGGAGGGGAGGCTGTGTCCTTAGGGCTAGAGTGGGAACCGGCCTTGAGTCCAGAAGCCTGTCTGTGTGGTCCTTTGCACTCTCTCCCCGGGGCTTGTCTCCTTTCCAAGCCCAAGCGCCCTCTCCCCAGACCACGGCCTTTCTTCCCTGTTTCTGCCTAACTAGATGCAGGCGGTGCTGTGGTCTAAACCACAGAGCCTCTTGGGCTTGCTGATGAGAAGGTTGGTGGTTCGAATCCCATCAACACCATGGGGTGAGCTCCCGTTGCTCTGTCCCAGCTCCTGACAACCTGGCAGTTCGAAAGCACGCCAGTGCAAGTAGATAAATAGGTACCGCTGCGGCGGGAAGGTAAACGGCATTTCCGTGCGCTCTGGTTTCCGTCACGGTGTTTCGTTGCGCCAGAAGCGGTTTAGTCCTGCTGGCCACATGACCCGGAAAGCTGTCTGTGGACAAACACCGGCTCCCTAGGCCTGAAAGTGAGATGAGCGCCGCAACCCCATACAGTGATACCTCGGGTTAAGAACTTAAAATGTTCTGGAGGTCCGTTCTTAACCCTGAAACTGTTCTTAACCTGAGGTACCACTTTAGCTAATGGGGCCTCCTGCTGCCACTGCATGATTTCTGTTCTCATCCTGAAGCAAAGTTCTTAACCCGAGATACTATTTCTGGGTTAGTGGAATCTGTAACCTGAAGCGTCTGTAACCCGAGGTACCACTGTAGTCACCTTTGACTGCACTTAACTGTCCAGGAGTCTTTTACCTTTTTTTACCTCTGCCTGACTGGAATGTGTCCTGGAACTCGGACCAGGCCTCTTGCTCCCCTGGGTGGAGGAGAGAGGGTGAGTGCGGAAAGATAAAAATCTGGACGTGCGGCCCTGGAAAAGGTGTCTCATCCTTGCCTATGGTGTGGATTTGCCTTACCTGGGAGGACGTGAACATGCTGGTGTCCATCCATGTGTTGAGGCAGGTGACCTGTGAGCTCACGGAACAAGTCAACCTGCGCAGTTAGTTCGTGTTTCACCTGGGAATGTAAAAGGAAAGGAGGGCAGATGAGGAGAGTTGCCGTGTATATGAAGAAGACGCCCTTCATTTAGAAAACAAAAACAAAAAACAAGTGAGGAAGAAGGGCCAGATGGAGATGTTCAGAGGCTCTGGAAATTTACATAAATTAATAACTTATTTTTCTTATACTCCACCCATCTGACTGGGTTGCCGCAGCCACTCCGGGCAACTTCCAGCAAAAGTACAGGAACAACGACATCAAATATTAAAACTTTCACCAAACAGAAAAACACCTACAGAAAAATTATATAATTATTTAACTCTTTCAGATTTGCCAGGAAGGCATTCCACAGGTAGGGCGCCACTACCAAGAAGGCCCTCTGCCTGGTTCCCTGTAACTTCACTTCTCGCAGTGAGGGAACTGCCTATGAAATACTACATAATTATTTAACTCTTTCAGATCTGACCGGAAGGCGTTCCACAGAGAGGGTGCCACTACCAAGAAGGCCCTCTGCCTGGTTCCCTGTAATTTCACTTTTCATGGTGAGAGAACCACCAGAAGGCCCTCATTGGTGGACCTGAGGGTCTGGGCTGAACGATGGGGGTGGAGACGCTACTTCAGGTATAGAGGGCCCCCACCCCTGCAAGTATTTCAAAATAAGAACAATACTAAATAAAATCTTATTTCTTTGTACGCTGAAATGTGCATGCATGTGCATGGTCCAACTATCTCACCATGGTTCGACACCAAGGATCTCCCAAACCTGGCCCATCAGACCTCCCCACTGTCCTGTGAAGGTGTTTTGGGGTAGCTTTGCCCGCCTGCCCCTACACCTGACGTCAGACATAATGTCAGGTGTGGGCAGGTAAGGTCAAAGAAAGCTTAAAGTGGGCTTTAGTTATTAACTTTCTGCCTAAGTTTAATGGTGGTCTTGTAAGGGAATAAAAGCATTCTGGAAAATGATATATAATGATATATAATGAATATATATATAATGAAAATGATATATAATGAAAAAAATGTTCAACTTTTGCAAAAAAACAACAACAACAGAGGCTTTTTTATCAGGAATTATAGGTGCAGATATTCCAAGGGAGCAGAAAAGACTTTTTATGTATGCCATGACAGCCGTCCGGATGTTATTAGCCCAGAGATGGAAAGAAGATAAAGTCCCTACCAGAGAAGAATGGCAAATCAAATTGTTGGACTATGCCGAAATGGCAAAACTGACCAGGAAGCTCAGGACTCAAGACCAGAAATTTAACAAAGAAGGGGGGGGGAATATAATTTATCTTGGAGACCACTGTAAGCAGATGAAAACACTAGAGGGTTACAATAATACTTGTAATGTAGCAATGGAAACAATGGAATGATATAAAATATGGATTATTGGAAAAAATGCAGTAGAAAAGAATAGAATCTGCAAATGTGGAAACGTATGATGGTATTGTTATAATTTTATACTTGCAAAACCAAATAAAAAGTATTTCAAATAATAATAATAATAAGCGCCACATGGTTTCTCCCACAGTTGATACCACCAGGGCTAGCAAGCAAAGCCCTGTATGCGTGTCTTCCTACCTCAGACATGCTCAGGAGACCACCGGCCAATGCTCTCCGGATCCCCATCTTTCCGTGGAAAAACCCTTCTTCGTTGAGCAACGTGGACTTCGCTCTCAACGCTGGACAAACAGGAGAGCCCTCAGAAAGGTTGGCATGGAGCCCTATTGGAATGTGATACCTAGGGAGGATATTTTTCAAAACGCCAGTTAATTTCAGCTCTCACTAACATACCACGTTCCTGTGACTGATGGGTTTCCTTGTGAAAGACACTGTGTCGTGTCTTTCAGCCCAGAGGCTCATTAGCTCCTAAACATCCTTGCAAGATGGGTAAGAATTACCCGTTTTCTTCAGAGCTACACTTAACACCATAGACAGTGCTTCCCTACATTTAAAACTGAGGTTGATTCAGCAAAAAAACCCCCCAAAAACCCCAGTGTTTTGGGTATTTTGGACTTCTCAACATTTTCACAGGAAGGCATTGTTTAGTACAAGAGGTGTGATGTTGGAAACTTCGATATGAACTTGTTGACCCTGGAGAAATCTCTGATACCTGTGGCTGTTTGTGTACTTTTGAACTATACAGTGGTACCTCGGGTTACATACGCTTCAGGTTACATACGCTTCAGGTTACGGACTCCGCTAACCCAGAAATAGTGCTTCAGGTTAAGAACTTTGCTTCAGGATGAGAACAGAAATCGGGCTCCGGGGGTGCAGCGGCAGCGGGAGGCCCCATTAGCTAAAGTGGTGCTTCAGGTTAAGAACAGTTTCAGGTTAAGAACGGACATCCGGAACGAATTAAGTACTTAACCCGAGGTACCACTGCAAACCTGTAGTGTTGGGGATTAAAAGCAGGACAACAACAAAAAATCGATTAACGTGAGGCTTTGGGGTGAACAGAGAGGGGCCTGTGAGTATCCACTATACAAAGGTAAAAAGGTATTGCTCCACCCACTTTTGCCTTTGGCTCCACCCAGCACCGGCCCTGGGAAGGTTGCCTAGGATGAAATGCGGCCCTTAGACTGCAAAAAAAAAGCCCTTCACAGCCTAGGACCCTCGTACCTATGGGACCACCTCTCCCAGTATGCCCCACGGAGGACCTTAAGGTCCATAAATAGCAACACCCTAGTGATCCCGGGCCCTAAGGAAGTCAGATTAGCTTCAACCAGAGCCAGGGCCTTTTCAACACTGGCCCCGGCCTGGTGTAATGCTCTGCCTCATGAGACCAGGGCCCTGCAGGATCTGATTTCTTTCCGCAGGGCCTGTAAGACCGAGTCGTTCCACCTGGCCTTTGGCTTGGAGCCAATTTGATTCCCTCCCCCTCTTTCTTTTTCCTTTCTCCTCCTGTGATGAGGCTGCGTTTTAATATTTGAATGGTTCAATATTTTAGTGTTGTATTTTAATCTTGTTTTTAAGTTATATTCATTCAACTTGTTTTTATTACAGTGGTTCCTCAGGTTACATACGCTTCAGGTTACATATGCTTCAGGTTACAGACTCCGCTAACCCAGAAATAGTGCTTCAGGTTAAGAACTTTGCTTCAGGATGAGAACAGAAATCTTGCTCCGCCGGCACGGCAGCAGCAGGAGACCCCATTAGGTAAAGTGGTGCTTCAGGTTAAGAACAGTTTCAGGTTAAGAACAGAGCTCCAGAACGAATTAAGTACTTAACCCGAGGTACCACTGCATTGCTTCTTAGATGCCTTGGGTGGGGAGGGCGGGGTATAAATAAAAAATATCATTATTATTATTATTATTATTAGCTTCCTGACCTTGGCAACCACCTGCTCCAGTTCATTTTTTTATTTTGCAGGATCTGCCTAGGGGCAAATCGGGCGCTTAGCCACCCCTGGTTTAAAGGACAGCTCAAGATAAAGGCAGATTATCAGAAGAGGCCTTGCCCTTGGAGAAAAACCAACAGAGTATTTATTTCAAACCAGCCCAGGCTTCTAATTTATGTAATAGGCCCGGGGATGAAGGAAACCCTCCGTAGGCGGCCGATAACCCAGGAATATTTATAGCAGCAAACGCCCACGCAGGGACAATCCTTTTAGTCAGCAGAGACGGTTAAAAGGATTAAGATGTTGGCTTTCAACGACTATATTTATCAGAGGAGTAAGCAAAAAAAGTGTGACCCAGATCTGAGCTGCTCTCTTAAACCGAGGCTACGGGACCTACAGGTGCGACGTAACAAGGTTAAGCTCGGTGCGATATCTCGCATGCGTAAGTGCTGGCAGGAATTGTTAATTACTCACGCATAACCTAATTAAGTGTCCAAGGCAGGACCTGCATATGTTCTCTGGCTCCCTGCATTAGATTTCCAAGGTAGGAAGAGCCAAGGGGGGGGGCGGCGTGCTGGGAAGGAAAACCAGCCTCTCAGAGTGTCTGAGATAGTGCACAAAAGCTGCCGCCACTCCGAAGGCTCTGACCTGGATTCGAAGAAGCCGTTTCAGACTGGAGTCACGCGGCCTCGTGGGCCAGACTCAGCAGGGCTTGTAATCAGAAACGGGGCCAGGTGTTTTCTATATTTACAAAAAGTGTGCCGGTAAAGGCTGTCGGCTCCGCAGGCTGCTTTCAAAAAGAGGAGAGCATCGAAAAGGCCGTGGGTGGCACTTAAAGTTTCCCCTGCCACGATCTCCAGCCCTAAAATAGCAGAGCTTTATTAGCTGTTGTTACAGTGGTACCTCAGGTTACATACGCTTCAGGTTACAGATGCTTCAGGTTACAGACTCCGCTAACCCAGAAATATTGCTTCAGGTTAAGAACTTTGCTTCAGGATGAGAACAGAAATTGGGCTCCGGCGTCGCGGCAGCAGCAGGAGGCCCCATTAGCTAAAGTGGTGCTTCAGGTTAAGAACAGTTTCAGGTTAAGTATGGACCTCCGGAACGAATTAAGTACTTAATCCGAGGTACCACTATATTTGTCATTATTACCCTTGTTATTCTTACTATTATTTTGGCCTTGCACATATGTGTCTCAAGGCGGTGTACAATAAAAGCAGCTTAAAAATCAGTTTAAAAACAACACAAAAAACCCAACGCGTGCGCACACACACACAAAGGTAACCATTGCAGAGACCTATTCATTCAACTGGAAAAGCATGTCAGAACACAGCTTCAAAGTGTAGACTGTGAGCGCCTGCCATATCTCAAAAGGGATGTTATTTCACAGATCAGGAGTAGCCGCACTAAAAGCACTGCACTTAGTTGTGCAGAACAGGCTCCTGAGACCTTTGAAAGTTGCATGTGAAGCTCTCTCTGCAGACTGCAGAGTCGTACTGTGCATATAAGCGACAAGGCAGTGATAGGAATCTGCCTTATCCTGAGCCAGACCAATGATCCATCTAGCTCAGCGCTGTCTGCACTGGCTGGCAGCAGAACTCTAGGCGTTGCCTTTAAGGTAAATCCATTATTCTGTGCAACTGATTTGGACTACTCCCATATCATCTTTTGAGGAGACTCAAGTTGTGTTTTCCCTGAAGCTCCATTGCAAGTAGCAGATCTTGCACAACATTCTCTCGAAACGGGAGCCCCTTGTGTTCTCGGTGTTCCTAAACGCTTAGCTTTGGAACATACATGTCAGGGAACTGACATCGGAGCCTGAGGCGGAGGGAAGGCTCTCAAATGATGCTGGAGAAGGGCCAAGCAGGGAGAGAGGCAGTTCAGCAGAGGGGGAAGCAAATCAACGTTACACCAGGGATAAAGGGGGGCAGATGGGGGAATCGGCGAGAGGGCTCCAGGACTCTTCACCGGACACCAGCGGGGAGAGCACGGGTCCTCCGCTACCCACGCCCTCCCTGCGCAGAAGACTTCCACGCAGGGAGAGTAGGAGGAGACTGGGCGTCAAACAACTTTTATGTTGGAAGAGGTTTAAGAAACGCCCACTGACGGATTCTGCTAGCGACTGAGGCAGCCACGAAGTGAAGGGCTGTCCAGACAGAAAGGTTTAACAAGGCAACATAGCCAGGAGAGGCGGCAACTTACGCACGAGCAACCCCATACCCATTATAATACGGAACAACTCCTCAGTGCTCTTCTTGTGCCAGAGTGACCCTGAGAGCCGATCCTCAGTGGCCGACTCTCCTCCTTTCACTCTGATAGGCGCCAGTCAGGACAAAGAAGGGAGAAGCCTTCTTTCTCAGTGGTTAAAAAGCTGCTTCCCATGTTCCCAGGTTCACGTGGCAGAACTCTGAAGCTCTGAACCATTTTCACTCACCTTGGATCTACGGAAGCTGTCCAATCAAAGTTCTTAAGGCAAATTTTCTTTGTACCACCCTGTGTCCCAAATACATCATTGCGCCTAGAGGCTAATCTTCCCTCGGTAGAATTACGGATCTGGCGTAGGACACTTAACTATTGGCTTCGCCTAAACTCAAATCCCCCCGGTCTAATGTCTCTAGTGCTTCAAGACAAGAGCGCCTGGACTAAAACTGTCTATCGAAAACATCACTCTTGTGGTTAATCACCACAACAGCTACTCACTTTGGGTTTTAGTAAAGCAAACAGTCTAATTTGTCAGCGCCTAAATGATATTGAGCATCAGAACAACTTGGCCACAATAAGGAAATTTTGCCCATAGTATGACTATTTTCCACCTTCCCATTTTGACTCTCTGGCACCCTCTCTGCATCACCTAGCAATTCCAAAATATAGACACACTTTTACTCTCTCGAGATTGAATGTATTGCCCTCGGCTGCATGCTGCTGAGGGATGATTCCAACAGATTCCACACAAAAAACACTTATGTCCCTGTGGAGATGGCAGTACCAAATCGATGGCTTGCACTCTTTTTAATGACTTGAGGAATGACATTATCACCCGTCTTTTATTGTCCATTCCGGGTCGCCCAGCCACTGCCACAGTGTCCATTCTCTTGGCAGATCAAGATGAGCAGGTGACAGCAAAGGTTGCAAGGTTTATAGCTGGGGCAATCAGAATAAGATCCACTACTTGACTATCGATTCAAAACCCTAAAATGTATTTTATATAATTGACTTTTTATTTCTATTCTTTGTATATCGTATTGCCATTTTACTGCTACGGCTGATGGCTGACGCAAATAGAGATTCATTCATTCATTCATTCATTCATTCTGAAGCCTTTTAACTGGGGATGCCAGGATTTGAGCCCAGGACCTGCTCTGCACAAAGCACGGGCTCCACCACCGAGCCAGTGGTCATGCTCAATTTCATGCCTGGCAGGGCTTTGTGAAACAGGCGCCTGCGTGAGAGCAAGAGACAGAAAGCAAGGGACCTCTCACCTCCTCGCCAGTTGTGCTGCATCGGACGCAGCGCTGCCGTTCACCAGGAGGGACACGTTGGACACGCCGCCGGAGAGAAAAGACTCCACGATGCCTTGGTTTCTTCTTGGGCAGTAGCCAAAGTCATCTCCGGTGACTATGAGCTTCACTGCGGCTCTGGGCATCCTTAGGAGTCAGCCCTGGAAGTGGGGGCAGGGGGAGAGAATGCAAGAGGAAGTCTTGAATAAATTGCACAAGAATCAAGCCCGCCAGAGCGCCCTCAGGAAATGTAAGGACAGGTCTGGAGCGGATCAAAGCATGAGTCAGCATTGGCTACAGCTGTTGCCACAGCACAGAAGTGAACAGTCTAGGTGCCGGTTCCAATAATTGCTAGTATCACCTACGTTGCTCTGCCCATCCTCCTGGGAGGTGTAGAAAGCAAGTTTATTTTGCTATTCGAGGAAGGAAGAAAGGAAGGGCGCGTCTGTATGCAAAGTTACTCAACAGGATTAGCCTGGCCTGGCTTTCCCACACACAGCCCTCCCTCCAGATTAAAAGGTCAACAGGTTTAAAAATTCCTGCAACAGGGTGAAAGCGATGCAGCAGGAGCAAAGAGTTAGGTGCTTCCTGCTAAAAACCGACACCTTCACTGGGTGTGGGTGATCATTGCGGAGGGGCAGAGTTAGGCCAAATCCCACTTACACCTGGGATAAAGCAGAGGCATTCCTCTGCCCAGCTCCAACAGCCAGTGTTGTGTAGTGATTGCAGCGTCGGACTAGCACCTGGGAGACCAGAGTTCGAATCCTCACACGGCCACGAAGCTCATTGGGTGATCTCGGACCAGTCTCTCTCTCTCTCTCCCCCTAGCTTACCTTATGGGATTGTCAGAAGCATAAAAACCCAACATGCATTCTGCAACATTCGAACCATAATACAGTAAGGTGTAATATAAGAAAGGAAAGAAGCAATAGAAAAAGACAACTAAAAGCCAATAGCTGCCTGGAGAGCTCAGTTGGTTAGAGAACGGTGCTGGTAACGTCAAGGTTGCAGGTTCGATCCCCGTACAGGACAACGGCATACGATCATCGGGGTCCCTTCCAACTCTTTAAATTCTATGATTCTGTCAAGGTTAAATTTGGACACTCTGCATACGAGGGCTTCGCAGGAGTGGGCAAATGGGTCCTGCCAAACGAAATCAACGTGAAGCTGGATGGTTGGGGCTTGAGAAGAAGGTCCCGTCCCACGATAAAAAAATTGCACTGGGACTGAAGCTGCCTTAAAACTCCAGCAGTGGAGCAAAGGTTTCCCTTTTGCAGTACTGACTTCCCTTTCCCCTCTCCGGCTTTCAGAATGGCTTAGAGCCCCTGTACCGCTCCTTCTTTCCCAAAGTAGGAAAGTCCGGCATTGCGGTGTGTTTGCCCAGCGTCTAGGGCGAATACAAAGAAGGCACTGAGACTCCTCCGTTCCATTTGCGGAAGGAATGAGCTGTACTTACAGGCATCCTGTTGAATCTGCTGAGGAGCAGAGATGAAGGAGACTGGTTTGTCAGGACCGGCGTGGTTTAACCGCTCAAGAGTGTGTTGCCTAAGATAGAAGGAGACTGTCGAAAGCATAGTCTCGACTTCTGGAGGCGGGGATAGGCGTGGCCTGAGCAAATTGAGGCGCTTCTTTGCACAGTCATCTGGACTCTATAAGGAAGTAGCTAGAGAAGGCTTTGCCTTAGCCTTCACGGCTGGCTGGGGCTGATGGGAGATGTAGTCCAAAACATCTGGATTCTAAGCAAGGTTTTCAAAAGGGCTTGCAAATAAAAAGGAAATGGGTTAATTGACTGCTGGGATAGCTCAGTTGGTAAAGCATGGGACTCTTAATCTCAGGGTCAGAAGTTCGAGTCCTATGCTGGGTAGAAGATTACTGCATTGCAGGGGGTTGGACTAGATGACCCTCATGGTCCCTTCCAACTCTACAATTATACCGTAGTAAGAGCTTTGTAAGAGTAAGTAGGGACGTGGGTGGCGCTGTGGGTTAAACCACAGAGCCTAGGACTTGCCGATCAGAAGGTCGGCGGTTCAAATCCCCGCAACAGGGTGAGCTCCCATTGCTCGGTCCCTGCTCCTGCCAACCTAGCAGTTTCAAAGCACGTCAAAGTGCAAGTAGATAAATAGGTACCACTCCAGCAGGAAGGTAAACAGCGTTTCCGTGCGCTGTTCTGGTTCACCAGAAGCAGCTTAGTCATCATGCTGGCCACATGACCCGAAAGCTGTACGCCGGCTCCCTCAGCCAGTAAAGCGAGATGAGCGCTGCAACCCCAGAGTCGGCCACGACTGGACCTAATGGTCAGGGGTCCCTTTACCTTTACTAAGAGCTTTTTTAAAAATAATAATAATAATAATCCAGATTTTAAAAACCAAAAGAGTAAAATGCCAGGGAAGGGTAGCAGCTCAGTGACAGAGCATCTGTTTGGAATTGTTTGTTTGTTTATTAAATTTGTCTACTGCCCCTACGTCTGCAGATCTCGGGGAAGTTCATAATGATAAAATTACTGTATAAAAAACACAACATACATAATAAAAATAAGAACAAACCTCAAAATCCCCCCTCCCACAACGCATTTTAAAAGTGCATTGGACATCAATCTGCCAAAGGCCCAGTTAAAAAGGAATGTTTTTGCCTGGCGCATGAAGGTGCCAGACGAACTTCTCTGGGGAGAGCATTCCCCAGACTGGGAGCCACTGCAAAGAAGGCCCTGTTCTTGTGTTGCCACCCTCCAGATCTCTCGATGAGGAGGCACACAAAAAAGAGCCTCAGATGATGTTCGCAGGGTCCAGATAAGTTCATATGGACAGAGGCAGTTTTTGAGGTCCTGAGCAGTTTAAGGCTTTGTAGCCCAAAACCAATACTTTGAATTGGGCCTGGAAACTAATTGGTAGCCAGTGCAATTGGGCCAGGATGAGTGTAATATGCTCAAACCTTCTTGCAACCTGGCAGCCAAATTTTGCCCCGGCTGAAGTTTCTGAACCACCTTCAAACGTGTAACACATTGCAGTATTTGAACCTAGAGGTTACCAGAGCATAGACAACAGTAGTTAGGATATCCCTGTCCAGATACAGGCATAGCTAGGCAACCAGCCGAAGGTGATGGAAGGTACTCCAGGCCAATGAGGCCACCTGAGCCTCAAGCTCAAGCCTCAAGTAAAGGATCCACCCCCAAGCTATGAACCTGCTCTTTCAAAGGAAATGTAACCCCATCAAGAGCAGGCAACCTCGAAGCACCCACTAGGGAACCCACTAGGGAACCACCCACTAACAGTGCCTCCATCTTATCTGGACTGAGTTTCAGTTTGTTGGCTCACATCCAGTCCATTATCGAGGCAAGACACCGGTCCAGCACTTCCACTGCCTCACCTGCAGGTGTAAAGGAAAAGTACAGCTCTCTGTGTCATCTGCATATTGCTGGCAAGGCACTCAAAAATGCCGGATGACCCCACTCAGAAGTTTCATGTAGATGTTGAACAACATACTGCAGTGGCGTCCAAACTTTTTTCAAAGAGGGCCAGATTTGATGAAGTGAAGGGCTGTGAGGGCCGACCAAAGTTGTTGACCTTTTTTTAATATTGAAGTTCTTGAGGTTTTTTTACGATTTTACCCCAGGAAATAAGCTGCCACAGGGGCCAGATTAAAACGACCGGCAGGTCGGATTAGGCTCAAGAAACGGACTTTGGACATGCCTGGCCCAATTGCCTTCTAAATCCGGCCTGGGAATCAGCGTGTTTTTACATGAGTAGAATGTGTCCTTTTATTTAAAATGCATCTCTGGGTTACAGTGGTACCTCGGGTTACAGACGCTTCAGGTTACAGGCTCCGCTAACCCACACATAGTACCTCGGGTTAAGAACTTTGCTTCAGGATGAGAACAGAAACTGCACAGGGGCAGTAGGAGGCCCCATTACCTAAAGTGGCCCCTTAGGTTAAGAACAGTTTCAGGTTAAAAACGGACTTCCAGAACGCATTAAGTTCTTAACCCGAGGTACCACTGTATTTGTGGGGCCTGCCTGGTGTTTTTACATGAGTAGACTGTGTGCTTTTATTTAAAATGCATCCCTGGGTTATTTTGGGGGCAAAGGAATTTGTTCCTTTCCCCCCTCAAAATATAGTCCAGTCCCCCACAAGGTCTGAGGGACAGTGGACCGGCCCCCTGCTGAAAAGGTTTGCTGCGCTCTGGCACAGAGGATAAAACTGAACCCCGAGGAACTCCACACTGAAGTCTCCACGGGGCTGAAGAACCCTCCCCAGGCATCACCCTTTGGAAACGTCTGTGCAAGTAGAACCGGAGCCTCTGCAAAGCGATGCCACCTACCCCTAACTCAGACAAGAATGCCACGGTTGACGGTATCAAAAGCCGCTGAGAAATTGAGGGCAATTAATGGGGACACGGGACGCGGGTGGCGCTGTGGGTTAAACCACAGAGCCTAGGACTTGCCGATTAGAAGGTTGGCTGTTCGAATCCCCGCGACGGGGTGAGCTCGGGCCCTGCTCCTGCCAACCTAGCAGTTCGAAAGCACCTCAAAGTGCAAGTAGATAGATAGGTACAGCTCTGATGGGAAGGCAAACGGCATTTCCGTCTGCTGCTCTGGTTCGCCAGAAGCGGCTTAGTCATGCTGGCCACATGACCCGGAAGCTGTATGCCGGCTCCCTCGGCCAGTAAAGCAAGATGAGCGCCGCAACCCCAGAGCTGGCCACGACTGGACCTAATGGTCAGGGGTCCCTTTACCTAATGGGGACACATCCCCCCCAACAGAGGTCATCATACAGGGCAACCCAAGCAGTTTCTGTGCCAAAACTGGGCCTAAACCCTGACTGATGCATGCAAAAGGTTCAAGGTGCAACCTCTAATGGCATCTTCAAGTACAGAAGGGACCCTGCCTGAAGTCCTGGAGAGCTGCTGCCAGTCCGTGTAAGCAGTGCTAAGCTAGATGTACCCAACAAGTCTGAGTCAGTGTAAGGCAGTTTCCTATTTTTCTTACAGCAGGCAAAACAAATTAAAAAAAAATTGTTTCCAAGCACAATTCAAAGCCCTAAATCAGGGGAATGGAAATAAAGACAGCCCCTACACTTTTTGAAACACACCGTTTCAGAAAATGAATTCGTAGCATAACGAACACACTGAGACAAACTGAGTGACTGGAATGAATAGGATGTCATTCAAACCTAGAATGAAAGTGATCACTAATGTGGTTTTTTTAGGTGACTTTTCCCTAAGAAGCTCATGCGCTTATGTCAAGAGGTCTTTGGCCATGCTAAAATTAGTATGCTAACCGTTTTCAGCGCTGTCACTTCCCCACCCCCAGCAAACACCATGCCTTAAAATATGTCCTATCTCAATAAAAAAATAACTTTCCAAGTAAAAGCTTTGAATTTGCTTGACTAATAACACTTGAAGCGCCTTAAATGGGCTTTGTTGATTTGAAATATTCAGCTCCAATTCTTTTCGCTACTGGAAAAGCTTCTGAGATTTACACAGAACATAAAATTCACATGGTGTTAATTTAATTGAACTTTTTGTAAGTTTTATTTACTACATGCAAGTCAAACATCCTAAATCGGGTCTTAATTGATTTAGTTGCAGGGGGAGGGGGCGATTCTGGAAAATGAACCAGCATCAATTTTCTCTTTGTCTGCAAATTAAAGATAATGCTTTTTTACCTCTGAGAAACTGGGCTTGGATCCACAAATGTTTTGCCGTAATATAATCATTTAGTCTTTAAGGTATTAACAAAAAACTTATTTTACTGTACCAGAAATCGAACACAGCTAACACCATCTGCGATTTATTTGCTGGGGTGATTCCAGGCCAGCACACCCAATTTCCTTATCATCGTTATCAAAAGACGTTTCATATATTTGTATAGAGCTTTAATTCTATCAAGGTTTAATTGTTTTTTAACCGTCGCTCCCACTGTTCATAGTGGTTCTTACTGCCACCTGTGAGCTGCCTTGAGTCCCGTGGGAGGCCAAAAGGCATTGTATAAATGAACATATGATTAAAAATAACAGCCACCAGAAGGTCCGAGGGCAGTTCCCAGCAACACAAAATAAAAGCACTTTAAAACCAATTGCAATCTCACAACTGATGTGCAATGCCTATGTATACACATAGATCTATAGATCTATAGCGCTCAAGTGTCAAAGCGTGATCATTACCTCTCCCAGGTGATGGTAAACAAGGAAAAAGATCGACCTCCCTATTTCAGTTCCCCTGCTGGCCCCGATCCTCCCAGGCACTCCTCCTAAGCTCACCGGCCTCTCCACCCGCAAGTCTTTCCGCAGCATTCCTCTGCCCCCAAACGTAGGGCGCCATCGCAGATCGAGGAGATCCCAGCCTCTTCCTTTGCCCCCAAGGCGATCCGCTTCACCTTCACACCTCCAGGCGCTTGATCCATATTTCGCAACGCTGCAAAGGCGGCTCAGCCTGGGAATCCTTTATTGTCCCCGGCGCGAATTGCTCCCATCCCAGCCTAATGCAACGGTGCGATCCTGCGCGCTCCAGAGAGAGGGAAGCCCCAATGTTTGCAGCGGGGTTTTTTTGCAGCACCTCAGAAGGGATCCTGCAAAAAAGCGCAGCTATTTGGCCAGCCCATCCCCGCAGCGACCCACCCCTCCAAGAAGGGCAGGATCTGCAAGCGTGTGTGTGACCCCTAGATATATATATATCTATTTCTGCAAAGGTCCAAAGAAGGGCAAGGGAGAAGGGCCCGCTGGTCTCCCGTCCTCCCACCTCCCTGGAGATCCGAATCTCCCACGCAGCGGACCCCACAGGGGACTGCAAAGCTAAGGCGAGGACCCCCACCGCCCCACCACTCTCCTAGTCGCCGCCCACGTGTCCCCGGCTAACAGGAAGGGAGATCT